CAGATTCATTCCAAAGTAAACATACCACAAATACATGCCTTCTCTACAACACAGTCTATTAACATGCCTACACATAACTATTTAATGTTCCTAAAACAGGAAAGTAGTACAAAATACGTTAAAAGTTGAAAATATAAGAATTCCTATTTTTTGAATGAATAGAAAAACAAAGAACATTCTTTTGACTTGAAACAAAATATTTTGCCTGCTGTAACATCTTTCCCCCCGCCAAACATAGTTGAAGGACTGGCAAATGATCCATGCAAATTGTTTTCTTTTGGACATTATCAGCCTGACAATAATAATGCTTAATTCAAGCTTTTGGTAAATAAAATCCTTACATGCTTACTTCTTCATAAGCATAAATTCTCAAGAAAAATTAAAGAGTCTAGAAGTGCTTCCAAACCTTGCTTTACCAAAACCACCATTGGAGAAACTGCCTATGCAGTCAGCATGTCATAGTCGAGGTATTTTCAACGTTGGAATATGCAAATAAAGGTATTGCACCAATATAGAATATTATTAAATCATTAGTTGTGCAATCACACTACTCCTGTATTAGTACCAGCTAATGGATGAAATGGAGTCACAGTGCTAGTGTGTAACACATACTGAAGCTCTTATAAATAAGAGATAGTGAACAAAAACAGAGGTCAATCACTTTGGGGATAAAATCAGAAACAGAAGAATAAAAACAGGTTTCTTTGCTGAACCATCTTTGTTTATGTCAACAGGGGCTATTGCTGTAAGAGACACCCAGTTACAATTATTAGCACTACAGCAAGTAGTTAGAGACTAAGACAGCAACTTCAGACATTCATAAGGAAATAAAGGGCTGTCTGTAACAGAAAACTGCACAACTGACTGAAGCTCATGTCTAGCCTTCCAGGGGACTAGGTTATTCACAATGTATTTCAATTTCACCTTGTATCACGTAAAGAGCAGGATTCTGAAGAAAGCATCTCTTTATTAGTGGGAAGAGGCTGCAGACACTCTGTAAGGGTTGAGATGCTTACAGACTCCAACACTTATGTCTTCTGTGCATTTAAGTTTTCCAAATGGCCAGAGCAGAGGTCACTCCAGAAGCACTCACACAGACAGCTAAGGCAGGACGGTGTGGGCGAAAATCACACTGCTGAGGGTAAGGCTACTGGGAAGCTCTTGACATCTGAGACTGGCTCTTGAAATCATGCATGGGTTCATCTCTTAAAGACTCCTAGACTTCTAATGTGTGTTTGGTAGGTAAAAAAGGATGAGAAAAAAAAAAAAAGACTCTGAAGTCCAATGCCAACAACCACAGTTACAGAAGCAGCCACAGCTGAGCCTAGGAAGTGTCTGGCAGAATTCCAAGACCAGCAATAAACAAACTTTGTGGGTTTTTTTTTTTTTCTTTCATGAAATGATTAGCATTTAGAAAAGCCTACTGTGTCCAGCACGGACTGTAACAAGTTATCAATATGATTTACATTTCACACAATTCTACCTTTACTCTAGATTTCAAATGATTATTGAAAGGGGATTCTTTTCTCTCTACAACATATTTGGCTATATTCCAGATATATTAATAACAAATATTACTGTGGTGGTTTGAAGAGGAATGGCCCTCACAGGACCATATATTTGAATGTTTGGTCATTAGGGAGCGGTGTTACTAGAGAGAGACCAGGAGATGTGGTCTTGTTAGAGTAGCTGTGACCTTGTTGGGTTAAGTATGTCACTTAGAGGGGGGTGGGCTTTGGGGTTTCAGAAGCCCAAGCCAGACCCAGCGTCTCTCTCTCTCTTTCTGCTGCCTGTGGATCCAGATGTGGAACTCTTGGCTCCTTCTCCAGCACCCTGTCTACCAGCATGCTGCCATGCTCCCAGCCATGCTAATAGTGGACTAAACCTCTAAAACTGTAAGCAAGTCTCAATTAAATGCTTTCCTTTGTAAGAGCTGCCTTGGTCATGGTGTCTCTTCACAGCAATAGAACAGTGACTAAGACAACTACCTATTAGAAGACAGGGGAGGAGCTCACCATCACACAAAAGCACCTAAGCACCATGCAGATACTCCATGTGTATCTTGTTTATCCCAAAGGGTTCCTGCTCACATGGCTACATAACTATGCAGTTCTCTTTCTTCTGAGAGGGGTTGGAGATTTAGCTCAATGGTAGAGCACTTGCCTAGGCAGTTACACAAATGCCTGGGCTTGATCCCCAAAAGACTTCATATTCCTCCTCCATTGGCCAATACATGAAGAATAATGATATAAAAAGGTTTATCTGGCCAGGTGGTGGTGGCTCACACCTTTAATCCCACCACTCAGGAGATACAGGCAAACCTCTGTGAGTGTGAGGCTAGCTTGGTCTACAGAGTGAGTTCCAGGGCAGCCAGGTTACATAGAGAAACCCTCTTTCAGAAGACGAATTTGTTATTGGTTAGGAAGGCACTGGGAACTTTTCATTGTTGAAGAATGTGAGGAGCTGGCTGATACTATGAAGCTGATTTACTATCTGAAGATGACATTTAGGACCTTGGAAGTTACAACAACTGGGATGAAGAACAAAATAAAATCAAAGTGCAGGCACAGAAGAATTAGTATGAAAACACACAGTCTATCAGTTCCTGTGCTTAGAATTACCACAATTCTGCAGGAGAAAAAAAGACACTGAGGTATGTTTGAGTGTTTGGAGGAAGCCACCAGAGGTGCCTTTTAGGTCACTGGCCTGCAACAATACCTTTGACTACACTGTTTTGTTAAACTCCTTCGTTGTCATGGATATTGGGAAGTGAACCTTAGAGGAAAAACATGTTTACCTGTGTGCCAGTGACCCTTTCTCCAGTGCTCAGAACCCCTTTCAGTAACCAAAGCTGAATTCAGCAGTGAGTTTGAAAGTGGGCTACAATTAAAAAAAGTTCAGCATTGTGATAAAAGAGCAAGCTGGTGTAAAACATAAAGAGGCAAGCTTATTTAGTTTACTTTACTTTAAAAAGAAGACAAGTTCATTTTAGTGGAATGGTTTATCAGTTCCTAGTTATGTTTTAAATTCCTCTTAGGAATTTGAAGCAAGATAAACGGGTGGTGGTGATTGGCGCACACCTTTAATCCCAGCATTACGGAGGCAGAGGCAGGAGGATCTCTGTAAGTTCAAGGCCAGCCTGGTCTATAGAGTGACTTCCAGGACAGGCTCCAAACTATACGGAGAAACCCTGTCTCAAAAAAAAAAAAAAAAAAAAAAAAAAAAAAAGAATGATTGTGTCTGCTCACCCTCCAAGAACATCTAAAACTGCAATAAAGTTTTAAATGGCCTCAAATATGTTGCCTATTTAAGCAAAATCACTAATATTTTAAAAGCATTTTACTCCAGCTCTCATTTGTGTGTGCACTAGGCAACTCTGGCCCATTTTGCCCAGTATCCAAGGACTTCAAGCAGCTGGTGAAGTCAGGGAAAACCTAGGCCCATAATAACTTCTGCTTAATATCCTTACACAGGCCAGTTTACAGCACAGTTTAAAAGGCAACTTTCAGACAGCAGAAAAAAACCTCTTCACCTCTTCCTATCACCAGGTGGAAATGAGGATATGCCGAGTTACAAAGGAACCAGGCCTGGAAAGGCAAGACCAAGGCAACTCAAAAATATGGGAATTCCGGCTATTGTAGAGTTTCTTGTTTTTCTTCAAGCAGGACACACATGTAGGCTGGCTAACATAATTAAAGTGGCAAAGGCACTCCCTAAACACAGGGTTGCTGCGGGATCTAAAGAACTATTACATTTAATACGCTCATGACTGTTTGGGCACAGTAAGTGCTCTGCTAGATATTATCATCAGAACAGTGCAACTGGGAAATACAAAAATATACATAAACTAGAAAAAGGAGATGCAATTCTACTTCACTCTTTTCATGCACAAATTTCACTTGTATAGATATATAGGTTTCATGTGTCTATATCAAGGTAGGTCATTTTTATCACTGTTTGTTCAATACAATCACGGTCTAGAAAGAATGGTGACTTACACTGCATAATATCAGAAATAGCAATAAAAAATTCCACTCAAAGCTGGGCGGTGGTGGCGCACGCCTTTAATCCCAGCACTTGGGAGGCAGAGCCAGGCGGATCTCTGTGAGTTCGAGGTCAGCCTGGGCTACCAAGTGAGCTCCAGGAAAGGTGCAAAGCTACGCAGAGAAACCCTGTCTCGAAAAAACAAAAAAAACAAAAACAAAAAAAAAAAAATTACACTCAAAAGCTTAGCATAGTGAGGCTCTCCTTTAATTCCAGCACTCTGGAGGCAAAGGCAGGTAGATCTCTGAATCTGAGGCCAGCTTGATCTACATAGAGGGTACCAGGCCAACCAGAGCTACATACTGAGACACAGTCTCAACAAAGTGAGACCCTGTCTCAAAACACCAAAAAACAAACAAACAAAAACACCAATAAACAAACAAACAAACAAACCAAAAACTAAACTTAATATTTCTGCACCGGGCATATACTACAGGGGTAAAGTGCTTACCCAGCATGTATGAGGCCCTGGGTATAACCCAAAGCACCTCACACACATATACAAATTCCATATACTGACCACTGTTTATAATTTACTTATTGTTTGATGCAGTCCTTATTGAATTAACAAAACAATGAAGGAGAAAAACACCATGGCTTTAGAGGCACAAAATTAAGTAATAAATCTGAGGATAATGCATAAAAGTAATGCTAAAATGAATATAAAATCTCCAAGTAAATAATAATATAAAATAGAGCTGGAAAGGTTACCTCAGAGGTAAAAGGCCTACTTCTGAATGATTACAAAGTCCTTAGCACTTTTGGCTTCCTCCCAAAGTCAATAGTGAAATACAAAAGGGGAAGAATATTTATAAACCTTTATGAAGGAAATATCCCTCTAACCACACATGTACAGAGATGTGTAAGCAGCAAGACTATGCACCACACCCAAAACTCATTCCTAGCTAGAGGAGGGGCACACATGAGGAGGATTCCAAGGCTGGCTTTGAACAAACCTGTTGGAAAGGTCGAGTCTGGGCCTGCCTGAGAAGCCTCTGCTGCTGCTGCTGCTGCTGTTGTTGCTGCTGCTGCTGCAGAAGTTTCATCTGTAGCAACTGCTGCTGAGATGTAATTGCATGAAGGGAAGGTGGTTGCAGCATGGCACCTGAGCGCCTCTGCAGCATGTTGGATAAAGCTTGCTTCGTATTGGTTGGGACAAAGGAGCCTGCAGGGTCCAACCTGGAGCCACCTATAAAAGCAACCAAAAGGAAGGGTTTTCAAAAGCAACATGTGTTCTTTGATCACAACAAGAAATTTCACCTTTCTTACTTTATGAGCAATGTAGAAAATGATATATTACCCTCCCAGCACTAAGCATTAACATTCTGTTAAGAGCTGTCTAATTTCCAAAAGTAAAAAGCAATGGTATGCATGAATAATAATACTTTAAAGCTGCTATATGGAGGCTGCATTTCAGTGGATAAAATGTAATGCCTGAAACAAAGATGAGTAAGCATAAAACTTTGGTCATGTGGGTGGTAAGCCAAGTACATCCCTCAGGATGTACATATTACTTGATAAAAGCATGCCTTGTGCTATATTTTGCCAAGTTTCATAAGCTAGGCATAGAAGCTTTCTCTATTCTAAAGAGATCTGAAGGCTGTATCATTTAACATTTCCTTTGGCAAAATTTAAAGGCCTAGTTTGGAAATGGGGAAAATGCGGAGGAGGGAAGAGGGGCAAATAACAGCAAGGTTGTTTGATAAAGCCTCAAGGAATCATATGATTTTATATTTATCTGAAATTATATATACTACATCCTTGTATGTATATGTGCATATATATTTGCATACACACGGAGAGGGAGGAAGAGAGAGAGAGAGAGAGAGAGAGAGAGAGAGAGAGAGAGAGAGAGAGAGAGAGAGAGAGAGAACTCACTTAAATTATGTCACTTGGGCTGACAATGCTCCCCACAAGAGCCATACCCCAATACCAGGTATGAAAACTCTCCATTCAACTTGTTGGTTAGAGTAGTCCAAATGACTTCAAAACAATATGGGCCATTGTTATTACCTTTGGTTGCCTCTCAAGAGCTGAAGACTTAAGGCACAGAATTCAGATGATTCAAGTTGGACTTAACCTGAAAGCTTTCTCCTTCCTGTGGTCTAATGTCCATAGCACTGGCAAGTCCTATGAACCATAACAGTGACCAGCATGGTAAGATTACAAAAAAGGTGCAATAGTGGCACTCATGTTACCAGTAGCTACTGGACTTAAGGAGAGCATCACACCGGGTATAGAAACCTTGCCAACTATCATGAGCTGGTGAGGTCACGGGTCTTAGAAGAGAACCCATTAGCACCACTTTCCTAGACCAGCACAATTCGTACAGCATTCTAAATCTTTTCCTTACACTCACAGATGAGTGCAGCTATCACCCATATCAAAGAAGCTTCTGCTTACAGCAAATGGAGATTGTCACAGAAAAACACCACTGGATGCAATGCAGGGGATTAACCGATTGTGGGAGGCCAGCCCCAACAGATACGTCTACAACATAACTCCTGTACCTAGGGCTCATAGAACAATATGGAGGAGCAAGAGGGAAAACTGTAAGAGCCAGAGGACCAGAAATCTGATCGGAGATAAAATCTCCTAGAAATGGGTGCCTAAACAAGACCCGAACAATGACAGTATCAATAAACATGGTAACATACACAGGGGGAAAAAATCCAATCTCTATTTAAAGAATTATAGGCAAATAATGGTTGCTGGGAGAAGAAGAAGTAGCCTTTCCCAGGATCGATGTTCCTAATTAGTTATCCATTACAAAGTGGTCAGCCCTGAAATCACATACACGCAAACAACAAAGATGGACTCAGCATGCTGTATTCATAGATTTGTGCATCTGGGCTGTATATGTATAATAATCAAAGGGAAAGAGGCCATCCATTTGAGAAGTAGGGGTGACATGAGATAGAAGGTGCTGGGAGGAGGGGGCATGGGAAGGATCAGAGTGAGTAAAGAGAAGATTGCAGGGAGCAAAGGGAAGGGAAAAGTGATGTAATTTTAATTAAATATATTAAAAATAAAGAAAATGCCTATTTTGTAAAGGAGAAAAATGAAAACACTTTAAAAACTTAAAATGCTTAAGGACTTCAAATTCTACAAACATCTCTTCAATTGCTATTGCTCAAAAGACTACGAAAATCCTAAAGATATTTGCATTTGCAGTTTGTCAAGGCCTTTATGAATTAGAAAAACTTCTACAATCGATGGCTGTACAGAAAATGTCACTCTTCCCTCAGAGAATCTATATTCCTTGATATATGCAAACAGGAAGCGTTCTAAGCACATATTTCACAAAAGATGTTTCTTCTTCTTTTTTAATCAAGCAGTATGTATGACAGAAAAGCATTTTAAATCCACTTGTTTGGGGGCCAACCTTCAGGACTCAGCAGCCCAGGAAACAATAGGACCATTAGTCACTCAGAGGCATGAGAAGGACATCTGAAAATAATAGCAACTGAGTAACCGCGTCTAAGTCACTTTACTGCAGCAAGATGTGAAATGCTACTAACAATCCGCAGTCCTAAACTGAGGACAGTACACTCATTACAGAAAAAGGAAAACCGAAAATCAGACTAAAGTCTATTTCTCTTATTTTTCTTAACTCTATAACCTTGAACCTCTGAGCCAACCAAAAAACGTTATAATCTGTCTAAAATGTTCTGTGTATTCCTACATGGTGACTTTTTCTTACCTTCTACAGAGTTCTAGTCTGAACTTAGTGTTTAATATTCCCTTTTATTTTCTTAAACCATCCACACTGATGTGTACAGATGAGAAGTGTATGTGTCCAAAGACAATCCAACTGGATTTCCGTAATGCTGATCACTAGGCAAAAAACTTTCTAATGCTTTGCTTGCCTCCAGGGCCCTACCCAAACTGTGGACACTGTTGGGTTGACTGTTCTACTCTACCTCAGTTTTCCCAAGTTCATCCTCCACAGGAAAAATTTTGAAGATCACTGCTGAGGAACCCTGGCTGATTGTCCAGGCAGCAGATAAGTCTCTGCCATTTTAACTGGTACAGAGGCCATTTGGACTCTACGCCCGCTCAAATCTACCCTTCTCAGATCTCTGGCAGTGTTGATGGGGAGCCCTAGCTTTATCAGTTTAGCAGTCTAAGCCTACCTTAGCCAGCTCCTCCCTGCAAGGCTGCAACTGCCTGGTCAGTTCATTTCATGTGCAAAAAATCAGGCCTTGCTTCACTAAAGCTACTAGGTCTCCTGCTGAGAGAGGCAGAACCACAGGCAGGTTTACCTCCTTTATAGGTTTCACATTGAAAAAGATAAACTCACAAAACAAGTTTCAATGTAAAAACAAGTTAATACAAAGTAAAAATTTAGTTTTTACTGTCCCTTTATTTAGAAGAATGTGCTTTTCAATGGCAGCTCTCAGTAATCAACACCCTAAGTCTCATGATAATGGGGGAGGGGGAGGTTTAAAGTTTATATAAGTTGTGAGGATCTGAAGAAAGTGATTGAAGGTATGTAATATAAGTTGTGAGAGTCTAAGGAAGTGACTTAAGGTATGTGAAAAATGATACTTAAAGATGATACCCGATGTTAAGACTTCAAAAGTTCAGTTTTAACATATAAATCAATGGAGTTCTAATAAGCTATTAATGTACCCTTGGTAAAGCACTGGATATTACTATCATAATTACAAGCTAAAAAATTTAAACAATCTTTGCTTTCTAAATATAAACTTAAAAGCTGAAAACTTCTCTGACACACACAGGGATGTGTGTGTGTGTGTGTGTGTGTGTGTGTGTGTGTGTGTGTATCAATCCCTCTGGACAGAGGAAAGGGTGTTCACGCTTTTAACCCAGAACCATCCTTCTGAGTACTCAAGCTTTTGCTATGGCTCAAAGGCAGAAGTCTACTCAGCCTCCTGAATAGCTGAAACTACAGGCAGGCATCACCATATGCAGCCAACAGTCTCTTTTTAAGACTTGGACACTGTTCTTCTTGTAAGAACACCATTGTGAAGACAAGATAAAAAGTACCTGTCTTCACAGAGCTTGCAGTCTGGAGTGGGAAGCTAAGCCTCTCAAGCGAGTAATGCTATACGACAGAAGAGGGAAGCACAGAGACTAGGAAAAGCATGTTATTACAACTTTGAACAGAGCAGCCGGGTAGGTTGGACCTCACTGTGAAAGTATCAGATCAAACGCCTTGGAGGCAGGTGATGAGCCTGTAGATGGGGGAGCCTGGATGCACAGGAAGCATCAAGTACAAGTATAAGGAGGTAGGAGATGTTCAGATCATGTACTGAACCTGTCTGCTGTGTGAGCTATGTTATAAAGGCTATAAATATATTTTTCATTAAATGTAAATGCACATGTATATACATATAGGTAAAAATTTATGAATCTATACATATGTATATGTGCAAAAAATTAACTTTTTCATCCTTTAAAAACATATTTTCAGATAAAATTAATTTCTAATTAGTAAGCATTTTTATCTAGGAAAGTATTCATTTGGATTGTAAGATGTACTTGAACCAAAGCAATACTACAATCAGGAATAATTACTATGGCTGTGGTAGTTTTCTGTGTTAATTTGCAAATCTTCTAGGCAAACCAAACTTCTGATCTGCTTCATAACTTAATTTTAATATTTACAATGCAAGAAAGGAAAGATACAATACCGCCTGATCTTTTAAAGTGCATGCGGGAATTATATTTGGTAGCTCAGACTTTAGGCCATAGCAATCTCCTACCAAGTTGTGTAATCCAAATCCATGCATATAATTTCAGCTGTATATTAATTTATCACCTAAGGAGACAAGCTCTTGCTAGGTTAACAATGCTCAGTGATCTTCCTGTCTTAGCCTCTACACAGTAGCTGGGACAACAGAACTAAGCTACTGGGTGTAGCTGAAGCTTTATTTCAGAAAAAGAAAAACCAAGTGCACCTAAGTCCTGGATTATCCGAAGTCTCATTCTGTGGAGGATAAAGGTTCAAAGCAAGGAGTTTCTGTCCTCAAGTTGCTGATGAGTGATCTGCCAGTGTTCCCTGCCTCATACCCACCTGGATTCAGAGACTGATTCTGAAGGAAGAAGCTGGGCTGCTGGGGCTGGCTCACCAGGTTGTAACCCCACAGTGCAGGCTGCGGATGATGCATCATCTGGGAGGACATGGGCGAGTAATTAGGAGGCACTCGGTAGATGTTGCTCTGTTGATACTCCTTCAACAGAAATATATTTTTTTTTTAAAGAAAATTGAACTTAATATACCACACACAGTTAATCAATATATGTTTTTCCTATTCAGGTATGAGGAATCATCCCATCCCAGGACTCAAGGCTATAGTTTGTGAAAGGGAAGGGAGAGAACACAAATGGTAACCCATTTCCTGGAAAATACTCATGTGAATTAAAATTTTTCCTTGATTTAAAAAGTAATAATATTCACCTAGCACATAAAAGGCCCTATGTTCAATCTCCAGTACCATCTCCCCACCACCACACACACAAAGAAGTTCCTCACAGCAGACATGTAAAAAGCTAAAAGCACATGTCTGAATAAGAATTGTGTCAGAAAGGGCCATAGTGCTTCAGAACTACTCCAGGCCTTGACAGTGTCTTACCCACAGCTTTCAAGACAGCCCTCAAAATAAGTTGCCATTCCCCACATCCCCATGCTTTCTCCTTATAACAGGTACTGACTCTAATGATCACACCAGAATGTCTCAACTCCTTCATCATCCATCTTTTTTTTTCTAGCATGGCCCTTGAGGATGAAGGGCAATGAAAATCTCAGTATCCCTGAACTGGGCAAAAAGATGTAATCCCACTGGGAAGAGGCAGCTTCAGGAGGAGGGTTCTGAGGGTCTTTAGATAAGTCTTTTGCATGTGAAGAGAAAAGAAGCCCTCATCCATGTGGTATGGTGGGCCAGAGTGTCCCAGGTTTGGGAGTGGGCACTGGTGTTCCAGTGGCATCTGAAAGTGACAGGAGCCATCTCTAAAAGTCTCTTCACTACCAAACTATCAGCTAGGATGATTCAGTGTTGACGAAGGTGAATGTAATGATAATTGCTCATGAACTGCTGAGTACCCACAATAAGTACTTCCTCCCCAACAAGCAAGAACATCCTTGTACTCCATAGAAAATGACCTGAAATTTCTCTCTCAAGTAAAACCAGGTAATTTCAAGGAAAAATCTATTTTAAATATTGCATCTCATATTCTATATAATAATTTCTGAATTATCATCTAATAGGCCTCTGGTACTGGAAAGGAAAAGAAAGAGAAAGGGTGTGAGATGATTTGAAATTAGGTTTATTTTATCTTTTATAAGATCTGAAAATATGTTAAAGACTACTCAGGGGGTAGAAGATACAAGGGCAAAGAGAGAAATCTCAGGACCACTCTGTAGGGGTAAACCAGATGCAAATTCATTTGGAGAAAAGCGGAAGGAACTTTTTAATGTTACTTCACTGCAAATATCAATCACTCAGATGAGATATTTAAGTATACCTTTTATATTAATAAAAGTGTTTAAGACGGTGTAATCATATACCCCTGAAAAATTAAAGTTTTAAACCCAGGGAAATTATGAGGCTTAGTTACTCAGTATTATCCACTACTGGAGTCTAAGGTTAAATAGTTATTATGTGTTGAGAATGGAAAATCAAAAGCTTTAAATCTGTCATCCATGAGAAATCATGGTGTGCCATTTCATTTATTAGCACAGAAACTTGTTAGGAAATGCTATATAAGAAAGCTGGTACCACTCTTGGTCAGGTTCCTAGGAGTCCAGTTTGGCCATGGGTAAATCCCATCCTAGTTGCTAATGAGCCAAACTCCTCCTCCCATCCCCCACTCACATCAACTCGGGAGCTGGATTTTGTCTTACGCTTCCTTCCCTTTGTCTTCTTCTCTTCGTCAGCTGTGGTTTTTCCTTGATCTGACAGTTCAGCTGATTTCCTTTCTGGTTCCTGAGAAACTGGAGATGTGGGCTCTTCCTCTTCCTCCTCAGGAGGTAGGGGCAGTGGCTCAAGGTAGTAGCTGCGGGGCTTAGGCATGGTATGCGTGTGGTACAGCAGGAAGTGGTGCTGTTCCTCATACTTTACCACCTTCCGGTCCACACGGACAGTGCCGAACCAGGCCCAGGACAGAGGAGCCGGGTTCTTCTGACCCTCAAACAGGTCCCATGGGGACACCTTCTGCTTTGTAGAGACCTGGAGACCCTGTGGGAAAAGATCATTCTGTGACAGCACACTCTGGCCTGTTCCCAACGCACAGGGCAAGCCTGTAAGCATGTGTTTGCAATGGACTGAGGGAGCTCAGCAGATAGAAATACTCAGCTAAGTCAGGCAACCTGGAGTCCAGGACTTTGAAAGTTCAGTTCTCTAGTTCTATGTACCACCTGACACTCGCTCAAGACATCTCAAGGTAATCTAGACTATTTTACTATAAAACGACATTATCATTCAGTTTGTTCTAGGAAATATAATTTCTCAAGTATCCTGTAAAGAAGCTGGCCTTATGATACAAGATTATAACCAGTTACTCATCTCAGGAACCTATTCAGTATTTTTGAGATGATAACAAAAATGTAAAAGTCTGCCTCTGTTTGGGCTCATATTCACTTCAGTTCAACCTACATGGACTTGATTTAGTATGTGGACCTCTCATGTACCCAACATGGCATCTTGGAACAAAATGTTGTGAAAGAACTTAATTACAGAAACAGGTACAACACAAATCAAATCTTTTTCTTTTTTAACTTTCTTTGTATTTATTCTTGGTGTCTTTCAATGCCAACTTATCTTTGTAACATTAATTGGTGACATTGTTGGTGACTTCTCCTGTATACCAATTCAAAGACATTTCTCCTAAAAAAATGGCCAAGGTACCTTCCTCTCACCCCAGATGTGAACACACCTGTTCTTGCCTGTGTTTCCTCTGTACGAGAGGCTTCTTCTAACACCACCAGATAAGTCACCACTCCCTGCTGCCTGTCATGTGAGGAGAGCATTTTCCTGAGTAGAGCTCAAATCTAAATGGATCCTGGATGCCTACTGCTGGAAAGCCCAGGTCACCTTGCCTGTGAGTAGGAGCCTTTTCCCTTTCCATGAGTGCACTGCTACGTTATTTAGGCACCTCTGAATTCTGAGGGCACTGCTTTCCCCCTCTGAGTCGCCTTTCCTGCCTGGATTTAAACTTTCCCTGTCTGTTCTGTTCTTTTTCTGTGTAAGTCTTAATCCTTCAAAATGGTCTGTGTGTCAACTACCGTGAGAACCTTGCTATGACGGCCTCTCCCTTGTCTGGCTGAGACTGTCCTCCTCAGAGCCTCCTAGTCCACTCTGGACCATTACCCACAAATCCCACTCCATTTGAACGTGCATCTACTTCCCAGTAAGGGAAGGGATTTCCCCACATCTATCTCTGCTAATGCAGAGTGACAATGATTGCTCGGTGTTCTTTGAAAGAAGAGCAGATCATTCTTCCCCAATTTTAAAGAAATTCCTAAAGTATCTTATATAAAATGAATGCCCTTCTAACATTGCTTCATTGACAATACGTAGTATTGTAACACTTAGTAGTTTTATTTAATATAGCTTACTCAGTACTTCAAAATACTTATCAACAAAAATTTCCTTATATAAACATACTCTGATTCCTATCCTGAAATAAAATCAGAATTGGTTTTTGCTTTTATTTTATTTTTTTTCATACTAGGCTCTTACTTAACCTCTTCAGTAGATTCCATTAATTTACTTTAGTCCAGGTAAGCATTTTAAATGGAGACCTTCAAAGACATGGCTTCTTATAATGCCAATAGCCATGCGCTTAGATGACAACAACATACCTTGAAAATTCAGAAATGAAAGTAAGATGTTCTGTGTATCCTCCAAGACTGTAAGCAAAGTCACTTGGCTTCTATAACTAGATATAGTTATATACGAGGGAAAAAACCCATTTACTCTTGCCTGTTTTTTATCGATGGAGTCAAATCCAGCAATTTTGTTTCCCTTTGTATCAATCAAAGAACCCATAGGTTCACAAGTGATGACATCGCATGTCTGCTTTGGCAAAGGCAGCAATTGGCGGACTTTGTCAATGCTTTCGGACCGCTTGTCGCCTAGTTCTTTCTAGAAGAGAAAGAAAAAAAAAGATGGAAAAGCAAGAGAGAAGTGAGACAGAAATTCTGACTTTACAATGAATGTAAAAGTTCACAAGAAGGAAGTTCCCCAATGACACATTTCCTTTTTTTTTTAAAGCTAGTATGTCTTTTAACCCTCAACACAGTCGATGGAACAGCTGCAAATCAGACTGGTGAAATGTTTCATTTCTTCTATTCCAGTAGAAAATAGAGTCACACAAAGGCAGCCTTGTTATACAAGGAATATCAGAGTGCTGAGATGACAAAAATCCACTGTGTTATTCGCAGTCACACAGCGGGAGCTGCCGCACGGACATTTTCTCGTTTCCAGGGTCAGGCTGTAAGGTAACCATCAGTTATTTTATTGTAAAGCCTTCAGATTTATGTATTTGCAATGTTTATTTACTGTTTATTTCAAGGACTATTTGTGGGTTATCAGATGAGTCACATTTACAAATTCAAGGCAAATGCTCACTCTTACATTTGCATGTACAAATCTGAGCATGGGTTTAACTAAAATCTGACACTGGAGCTTTGGTTATATATTTGATAATGCATTTCTAAATCCCTTAAAATTTGAACACATTTTATGAATATAATAATTTAGAAAAAAAATCTTTTCGATAACATACTTGTCACTTTGAAGGACTGGCAGGCCTAGGCAAGACAACAAATAATTGCATTATGTTGAATCAAATGCACATGTAAATTAATGAGTCAGAAATCAGACCAGTCCATAAACGACTTCAGAATAGAGGCTGATCACAAACTTACTTTCAGTTTCTTTACTAAATTCATGTATGCACGTTTGTTCTCCTCAGAGCCCCCAGGGGAAGCATTTGATAGGTCTGAAGCCAATGTCCCATTGATTAAAACGCCCAGCATGTCAAGAACTGTTGTGAATAATTCACTGAGAGGAAAGAAAAACCCATTTTATTTTTAAAAACAAAACCAAGATACACATAATTATCTATGCATTTCTACTCTAAGTGCTGAATTTTTAATGACATCTAAGTCAGTAAGTGTCAGAATTTATTATCAGTATATCAAAGCTTATATCACGCATGCATGCAGCAAAAAAGTATAAACTGATTTAAAAAAAAAAAAACAAACCATACTTGTTAGTGTGCATGTCAACAGTTCCTGAAGTAATAATCTGGAGGAGTAGGAGAGCCCAGTCAGTGGTCCCCTGGGTGCTTCGCTGCACTGTGTCAAACATTCCTCCTACCTAGTATACAAAATACAAGAAAGCATTTGTACCTGTAGGATAAAACACCACCCCTATTACTGCCTAAATGTTGATGTGCTAAAACAAGAGTTGTGAAGAACTGGTTCTTGCTAAACATGTTATGGATTATCCTGTAGTCTGTCTCATTTGGCTATGTGTTTATCACTATCTTTGGTTCTTTCATTATATTATAGTCATTCAAAACTTAACAAAAAGAGTAATACTTGAGTATTACTGGCTTTCTTTTCTTATCAGTCTCCCATGGTTTTAAACATAATTGCAGATAAGTTAAACCCAAAGAGCATCAAATCTCTGTCTAACAACCTGCAATTTTGTGATATTCGATTATTATTGTATCTAAGTCTGCTATTACAATATCCTCAGATGTTTGTTAGGTCTGCCAGCTCCTGTGTGGAGGTTAGGCTGCCAAAAACCAGACATGCTGTCACCCAAGGTAGATTTCATTTGGGGTTTGTCCAACTGGAAGAGAAAAACTCAATGGAATATAAAATGTCTTGAGGACTTTTAGATTTCTGTAACAAACATTCTTGTGAGATTTGTCCTTTTTTAAATTAATTCATTAGACAGATTTAATTGATTCTGATAATTTAGGGCTGATGGATTTGATGGCTTTAAAATAAGATACAGTAGAGCTAACATTCATATCAAATAAGGGTTTCTTAGACCCCCCCCCCCCCTTAGCACCAATGGAAGAGAAGTGGAGAGCTGCTACAAGGAGTCTGTGTAGAAAAGAAAATTGGTGCTCAAAACATGACCGTCTAGAATTCAATCCAGACAGGAAGGAAAGTGACAAGGGAAACAGAAGGTTTCTGAGAAGAGGAAGTGGGTAGAGACAGAAAGGGGAAGGCTTCACTTTGCCATGCAGATTCTGCCCACAGCAGAAGTTGAAAGCTGCCGTCATTTTCATAGAGAGAGAGGTGTGATGGAAACCCTCCATGGTCCTTACCAGATTCAACCGGAGTTGCAAAGCCTCGTGCATCATCTGGCGGGCTTTCGTATCATCTTGGTATCTTTCTTCCCGCCAGTTACTTAAAATCTAAGATCAGGAACAAAAGAAGAAAAACTTTGTTATGATCATTTTTACATGTTTAAAATTAAGCTTAATAGTCACAGCTAAAACCAACTTCTTAGCTTTAAAAATTAAGAAATATAAAATTGTATTTTTCTTTAATCTTCTTCTCTTCTTCTACACAGACAAAACCCTAGCTATTTTATGATGTATTTGACTGGGTAGCTGAGGGAAGAGAATCTGACTTAATTACACATATATGCATGCATGGGGCCATCAAATTAAACATTATTAATTTAGTATTCTGTAGATAAATATTGAAAAGACAGAATTCCATTTTTCATTGGTCCCATGTTACACTTCTTAGGGACATGCTATAAATTCTAGCAAATGTTTTATTTTTTATTTTTGACATCTTTCTGGAATTGTTACTTGCTATCTAATGAATAATGTTTCCTGATAAAGAGAATATATTCTTTTCAATGTAGACCAAGATCAGTCAAATTCATAAAGTGGACTGGTTCTTCATTTCCTCAAGATTAGCTCTGGGAGGGGTTTACTGAAGAAAGACAAACAGGTAGGCACATCCCAGAACCAGATGACGAGAGCCAATAAACAAAACTCAAGCACAAAACCCCTGCCTTGCTCTAACTGAACAGTAACTAATCAAAATCACCTTGAATGAGCTAAAAAGGGCTGCAGAGACAACTTGGTGGGTAAAAAGCTTATGTACAGTGTGAGGACCCGAGTTGGAATTCCATTTAAAGGTGCATGGGGAAGTGGCCTCTGTAATCCCAGCATCCCTAAAGCAGGATGGTAGGCAGAGACAAAAGAGTCCCCAGCTGCTCACAGGCCATGTGAGCACAGGTAGCAACAGCAAACACCAGAGATGCTGTCTCCAGGGAAGTGGAAGGACAGGACCAAGAGGAAGGGTTCTCCTCTAACTTCTACTTGTATGCTGTGGTTCCCAGGTCCCTGCATTTTCTCATCCCTACATACATTCTCCTCTTCCCACACCACGCAATGTATGAAAATCAATCACTTTACAAGTAACAACTATCAACAGCAGAGCTGAAAGTATGCTATGAAAAGACAATACTTTCCAAATTGCATATGGGGGCAACACCAGCCTCTGTCAATCATGGTAACAAGGTAGTCAGCTCAGCCTGCTGCAACTCCCCTGTCCTCAGCTGCTAACTGGGAAGCTGAAACTGAAAGGTTGGGAGTTCAAGGTTCACTTGGGCTACTGAGAGAGATGAAGGCCAGCTGGGCAAGATTTTATCTCAAAATAAGAAGCTAAAAATGGACTCAGCGGCAGAAAGCTTATCTAGCATGCATAAGGTCCTAAGTTCAACCCCAGCACTAAAGAAAGGAGGTAAAAATGAAACAGATCTGACTACAGGGAGGACAAAGAATGATAGCAGAAGTACTTAGAGGGCGACCATGGCCTTACTAAGGAGGCCAGGTGAACAGGGATCAGCAGGAAGGGAGGGAGCAGGTAAGACTGACATCTGAGAGGCATCCTTCCAGCACAAGCACCTAAACAGGAAGGGAGCCCCGTCCATCCAGGCTTGAATGGAAGGGAAACCAAGTGGGAGAGAGAGCGCACACCCAGTCAGGAAGGGTTATGAGTTCCCACTTAACATCACAGGGAGGGATGCACCCGGCCTTGTGTCAGGATAAACCACCTCACACCACCAACTAACACCTTTTCTCGATTCCATGCTTTCTAATTTCTTTCTGCTCCCCAGGATTCCAGGAAGGTGCCACAGAGATCAGCAAACTAGCTGGTAAGCAGTATGAGGCAGTTACTTTTATAGTCTTTATACATCCGTCAACGCATAATTACTGTAAAGTTGTTAGCCTTATGGTGGCCAGGATGCGAGGAGGAACGGGACATGGACTGTCGTTTCCCAGCACCTCATTTATAGACACGTCTGTCTGATCTTGTATTCAAAAGGAAAGGAAGGAATACCATCATTAATATCACACTGGACTTTACCTGATTGACTTGATTCTGCAGGGATGTTAGGAGGCCTTCCCGTTGTTCATCTTGTCCCTTAAGGCAGGTAAGGACCAAGGAGAGGAAAGGTTGCTGACTCAAGAGAGACATACTGCAAAGGAAGTAGTGACAGTCAGAAAGAATGGCTTGCCCCTGGTGCAGCCGTTCCTCTTTCTAGGAGACTCACGGCTGTTGTGTATTTACTACTAGATAGAGGACAGGATGGCAAACCACCAGAGAACACATTCCTGTACTTACAAGATTAAAAACCACTGGCAAAGTTCGTGAATGGCAATGCTCTACTGCTACAGTGCATGTGAACATTTGCTTTATTTTAAATATGTATGCCAAAGAATATAAATGTATGCACAGATTAATAAGAAAAATTGAGAAATTCCTCAGACAAAACTCTCCTTCAGGAAGCACACATCTCTGTGAGCCTTGACTATTTTGGACACCTGTGGGTTTTTGCTGTATATTTCTCAAAGGCCAAAAGCATAGTCTTGATAAAGTCAGGGGTGGACACGAGGTCTGAGGCCTCCAAAAGCCAGGTTGGTGCTAGAAACAGCTAGTGCCCTCTAACATCTCTGACATAGCCCACAGCCTCCACTAGAGAAGGGGCAAATTTTCATGTTCATAAAATCTTTCCAATTTGAGAACAACAGAAAAACTGATTGAGGGAAAAAAATTCCAAAATAGGTCCAAGCCAAACCTTTTGGCTCAGGAGCTCCACTTTATTTATTTATTAATTAATTAATTTATTTATTTCTTTTTGGTTTTTCGAGACAGGGTTTCTCTGTGTAGCTTTGCGCCTTTCCTGGAACTCACTTGGTAGCCCAGGCTGGCCTCGAACTCAGAGAGATCTGCCTGGCTCTGCCTCCCGAATACTAGGATTAAAGGCGTGCGCCACCACCGCCCGGCAGGAGCTCCATTTTATAGATGGCCAATAAATAGCAATTAGTTATGGCAGTATTATTAACAGGCAACAAGAATCTCTGTTTTTAAATTTTTATAAAATGAAGAAATTATGACTTTCCTATTTCAAGTTCCTTGGCTGTTCAATTTATAGTGTGAATATTCATCCTCAATAAGATGGTCTATTTTCAAAAGTAATTATTGGAAACCTTTTCTTGGTCATAAAATAAATGAAATAAACATTAGTTTTGGCAGTTGTTATGACTACTTTTAATCAAGAGTCCAGATCAAGATTCCTAAATTTTAAAAAATCAGTAATTATTTCAAGGTCCAGTAGGTCAGAATTAACAGCAAGCCCATGTGTTCAACAGCCTTGAAATGATTTGGACACAGAGGCAGGGATAGAAACTGGTGAACTAAACATTAGTACAAGGCCAGAGCCCTGCTTAGCCGATGATTTCCTAATCCATTCAAAGCCCAAACGCTATAGACACTGGATACAGACTGTGATGTAGGATGCTAGGCTTCCTTCAGACGCCAGCCTCGACAGGAGGCCTCTACCAGCATACCTCTTCTGCTTCTGCCTATCTCTTTCCTTCTTTGAAGAAGAACCCAGGTGCTGCCCCTTCTCCAGCTCTTCCCCAGCAGCTTTCAACACTCTTCCCTGCACGGAGGTTGGCAGCCTGGCGATGAGGGGGGCCACCAGCCACACACCCCTGCGTTCAGAGGAACTAAAATCAGAAACAGGCGTTACACCTAACAAAGCAGCTGGTCTCTGCTCTCACAGCCAATCCAGAAACCCAACAGTAAACCACTGATGGGCAAGACATGGACATCTAACATTCCCCTATGTCTGTACGTTCTCTTCTTGCCAAAGACCAGACATCTGCTTACTGCTTATACATTCCACCTGCATTCATTGAGGAATAAAAGGTGCTGTTCTGGGGAGGTATTCTGCATGCTAAACCATTCTCAGTGACTGTCCTGGATTCTGCCTTTCTGATCTCTCGCCACCCTTCTCTCTATGGACATTACACTCTTCAGTCATGGTCACAATATGCAATGGTATTGTGTTCAAGCCAAGGAATAATAAATCTTTAAATTTTAAAACTCAGATTTACACCCTTTTACCAAAATGATATGCAAGCCAATCTGTCCTTCATGATGAAAAGGATTACTTTATTAATTCATGGTCCTAACAAGTTCTATTATGAATGCAAATTACTGTATTTGTACAAAAACTGTCAATCAATAAAGACACATAGAGAATGTTTCATATTTAATGACTGACCCAAAGACAGTGATACTATGAATCACAATTAAGTTTGTCTGTGGCTCCAAAGTATCTGGACCTACAACAAAATACCTAAAGGGCCGAGACATCGCTTACCAACTTCCGCCCTTGAACCTGTTGAATAACAGGAACGAACTGTTACTTAGAAGTAATTATTTTCTTCACATTTCCAGAAGCTTCATGAAACATGCATTAGGCTAATCAAGTTTACTGTAACATATGAAATACTGATGGTAGACTAACAAAACTATGAAGCAATACCTTAAAAATGTCTTTATTCCATTCTGTCTTGTGCTACTGGTATCAGCACTTCCAATCCCATTTGGGTTGAAGAGGCTTATGCCAGAATTGGGGGCATTATTATTTAGGTCTGCAGACTGCTGGAACACTTCTATTGTTGCCTTTGCGATGTTGTCCAGTAAGTTGTTCATTTCAGCCACAGAGCCAGAGCTCTAGAGTCAGGAAAATAAAAGAAAGCCAGTCCATCTATTTACTCCTTGATTCTCAAACATCAATGACTTTTTGCTGATTTCATTCACATGTGTGCTTTCAACATATACTCACAGGGTCCTTCAAGCATTGTTTGATCATTAACTGAAGCTCTAACCAGGATTGTCTCAATGTCCACTGCTCAAGATTCTGGAGAAAATGCAAAGGATTATGACATTAAGAACACTGAGCATATGCTACCATAGCCTTGCAGTAATACTCATGCCCAGCAAGGGAATTAACATGGATTAATGGTTTCCAATTTCATGCCTGATAAAAAAATATTCATCACAAAATTCAAGTTTCAAAATGTGTTCCCCACCCAGCCAGAAATTGGAAGTCAGATAAGCATGGCATCTCTCAGAATCCATTTACCAATTAGCCAATCTCATTCCAAAATGATGTGTTTCTTCAATAACATATTTAAGACTGATCCAGCACAAAGATTATTTCTCAAGTAAATATAGCACTGACTTAAAATATCTACCTGTGATTATATGTTGTTTGCTACTGACTACATCTACTTACTAGTCAACTACAATAATGCCACCATAAAGAAAATTGCAGAACAAGTCAGAATTAAATTCAAGAATCAGAAAGGAGAACAGCAACAACGTCATTCTTTCTACAATCTTATTGTAATGAATGACCTGACAGAATCTCTGGAATGTACCACTTACCTGAAGAATGCGCTTAATGTGCTGTCTCTGCAGGTTGTCCCCCTCTGTACACTCTTTAATACCATGAGGGTAACAGATGAGCTGCAGCAATTTCTGTGCTTGCATGTTTGAAAGCACAGGGTCCAAAATAAGTTCTTTGTCTGTACATAATCGTTCTGGCTCTTTTAAGCAATGTTCTCCTACCCATTCCTAAAAACAAGCCAGCAGTTAGACAGTAAGTATTGATTCTACCTGCCTATGTATGGTATTCTCATTTCTCAGAGCAAAATAATATAAAGCTAGTAAGAACCATCCACTGAAAACAAATTAATGGAAAAATAGGTGGAGAAAGGTTTGCCTGCATGTATATTTTGATTCTGTTGTTGTTGTTTTGCGTGTGTGTTTGTTTTTAGAAAAGGTCTCAGGTATTCCAAGATGGCCACCAATTCACTAAGTGGCAAAGATTAACCATGAAGTATTGATCCTTCTGCTTCTGTCCTCAGTGCTGGGATCACAGGCCTAAATTTAATGCCATGTCTTCCTGCCTACCAGGGCTCCCTGCATGCTTGCCAAATATGCTATCAAATAAGCTACATCGCCAGCTAATGGGAAAAGTTTCAAAACAAAATTCTACCATGGTGACATCTTCAAAATGCAAAGTGGGAGGAACTTTGATTAAAGCAAAAACATTTAAACGTATGGGGGAGGGAGCTAAGTTTTGGTGTGCTTTTTTAAAATGAGGACTTACTCTAAGGTACTATTTTGTAGCAAGGTATTTTTTTCTGTTGCTGTTTTTCCTCGGTATATAGTAACAATGACATTATGTTATACATGCTTTCCATCATTTTATGGGATATATTCTGCTAAACAGGTAGAACACGGTATATAATCACTTAGAAGATTATCTTCTTGACACTAGCATCCTTCCTTTTCCATTTCTTCCTTCATTAAATGGCATAAGAAAACGTTAGCATCAGAGCTCAATTTGAACCCAAATCTATAGCTGAGAGAAAAATTATAGCACCAAAACTGAAGTTCTGATTTTTACTAACTTTACTTTGGTTATTACAAGAAATAAAAACATAAGTATCCAAAAGTAAAGCAGAGTCAACTATACCATGTACTTTTCAACCGTTAAGAAAAAAAAATACAAAATGTTCAAAATTAGTGAATCTGTATAGAGGATGTACTGGAAGTCTTCATTATTACAACTCTAGCAAATTTGAAATGATTTCAAAATAAAGTTATAAAGACAAAAAAGGGCCACCCAAATAGAATTTTTTAAATACAGCGGACAGCCAGGTGGTGGTGGCGGCGGCGGCGGTGGCGCATGCCTTAAATCCCAGCACTCGGTAGGCAGAGGCAGGCCAATCTCTGTGAGTTCGAGGCTAGCCTGGGCTACAGAGTAAGTTCCAGGACAGCCAGGACTGTTTCACAGAAAAACCCTGTCTCAAAAAACCAAAATAAAATAAAATAAAATAAATAAAAATAAAAAATAGCAGACAGTTGCCTCTCAAAGAACAGTTACAAAGTCAGAGTAGAAGCCATTTATCATTCAGAACTGAATTCATGTTGAAATCAAAGAATACCTGTTGGCAGATAGTCCTCAGCACATATCTAGCATATTCTCTCAGATTGGCAGTTTCTATAGAAATACTTTTCCCATAGGCTTTTGAATTCTGCGTGGTGGCCCAGGCATCTTCAGCATTCCCATCACGTCTTAAACCCCTCATGCTGAACTCATCATTCTTTAAAGTGTTGACATTGTTACTGCCAATCTTGGCATCTCCTAAATAACAGAATCACAAAAGCAAAATCACAAAAGTTTAGAATATTGAATAAAATATGTAATGGGTAAATTAGGCTGGGTTTCAGGGATTCAAAGATGTGAATGGCATTACTCTTGCATAGCCAGTTGTCCAGCAACATAAAGAATGGATCAAGAGATACATGAAAGAATACAAAACAATTGGACATGGAGAGAAGTAAAACTCAAGACTCATTCCTTCTTTTGGTTTATAGATTTAATATTCTATTGCTAGCCTTGGAAAGGACATTATGAATGATTATTTAACAGTCAAAGCACACTGATTTCACCAAAGCTTCAAGTTTATCTGAGTTATAGACAAGGAAGAAAATGGGTTACTCACCCTTCTAGGAGTCCCTTTTCCATTTCTTCTCTTATAATGACTTATTTTCTATCCATAGGTCAAGAGAAAAGTTTTGCCTTAGCCCACCTTACTATCAACTTCTTGACAAGAGAGATTTATTTCCCTGGGGATGGAAAAGGGCAATGCATACTAAGGAGGCTCTGGAAAGCAGAGCTCTCTGCACATAGCCTGTGTCTTCCACCTTCCTCTCTGTAGCATCCAGCTCAGAGGTCTTCCCTGACCAATCTCTAATACACTGAGTAAGGTGAAGCTAAGAAGGTTATTTGACTACTAACAAAATTCTGGGAGAAAAACAAAAAACAAAACACTAAACAGGGTATACTTGGGTAAAATAAGAAATTTCCAGCCATAGAAGAAAAGAAAATTAGGTGAGATAGAGAGATAATTTGCTAGTGAGATGGCCAGACAGCAGCAAAGCCTTCCAACTTTGCCTGCTTACCTACAGAAATCAAAACAAGCTTCGAGAAGACAATTGTCAAACCAGTGGCTGAATTTAGGGGAGGCCTTCACTATATGCAGTAGGGGAGCAAAAGCAAGACCATGTCAGTGCAAAAAACAAACAATGACCACTTTTAACACACAAGGTCAACCCCCAAAAGGTTTTGATTCTGTTGAAAAAACAAACACAAACCATGACTCTTTTCTGGGGAGGAAAGATAACCAGAATGTCATAATTAATATCTACTTTCAAAATTCTTAGAAACAGAAGAGGGGCTGAGGCTATCACTCAATGGCAGAGGCCTGCCTCTCATGCATGTGACCTTAGGCTCTACCCCCAGCACTGTGGCCACCGCCGCCGCCGCCGCCACCACCACTGCCACACAATGACAAAGCAGAAAAGCCACAGAGGGAAAAATAAACAATAGATTTCAATTTACCAGTATATTATCATCTACTCATCATGTGTTTTAAAATGTAAAAGCTGATGGCTTTACCCAAGAGAGTTTATTTAATTCAACAGAGCTTTTCAAAATTAGAAGTATGGATTCTCTACTCTTGGATGATATAAACAGCTATGTCTATCTCAAGTTAAACTACTAAGTAAATTAGGAACAAACTTCACTATAATAGTCCTATTTTCCTGCCTTAATATATATTTTGGTAGATAGGAATTAGAAGAAAATTGGTTAGTACCAATAAAGTAGATAAAACTTCTCTGCAAGAGCAAAAACAAGCACATTTCTCAGACCCATTTGTTCATCTCCATTTCCTTTGGATATTAGGAGGACTGGAGCCTGCATGATTGCTAGAACCTTCTGCAAACTGTATAGACAACAAACAAATTATTCTATATGAATCTTCTAAGGCTTTGCTGACATTTAACTGTGATGATCATAATTTCCCCAGACCCAGAACCTCCCACAATATTTGAATATCTAAAAAACCTGGCAGTCTTACTGGGGTTAGTCCAGTTCTACAAACAAGGGCTCACTGTCTAGATGAGACTCATCATTGTGTACACCACTGAAACATGTTACTATGCATTTGTACTTCCAACTTAGGTTTATTGAAAATCTATTTTTTATTTTCTCTGATGAGACTTGGAAATAGCCCAGGAGAAATCCAGTTCCTGCCTTCATGACCCTCACAATTATTAGTCAGTGAAGTTCACCAGTTCTCCTTCCCTTCGGAAATCAGAGTAGAGAAATCATACTGGGCTGCAATCAGTACTTAGCATGGACTACATAGTCCTATAAAATCCTAAGCTTAGGAAGAAGGCTGGAACCTTCATGGTAGTACTACCTTTTGTTTTGCTACAAAATGTTTGACGATTTCAGATAAGTATGATTGCTTTTAATTTAAATTTTTTCACACTATATATATTTTGATCACATTTTCCTTCTCCCCCAAATACCTCCCAGATCCTCCCCATTTCCATACACATCCGACTTAATGTTCTTTTCCTTGATCTCTTTCTCTCTCTCAAAAAAGCCCCAAAACAAAAAAAAAATGAGATAAAAAATAAAAACAAATTCATAAGACAAAATAAATATAGCAAAACAAAATAAAAGTACACAATTAAAAGCAACTTCTACTTTGTGTTGGCCAACCTTTCCTGAACATAGTGCCTGTCTTGGAGTCTGGTTGATATATGTAGTAACACTCTATTGAAGAATATATATATATATATATATGTGTGTGTGTGTGTGTGTGTGTGTGTGTGTATAAAAAACATCTATGAAGCAAGGTAAGATTATATTATTTGTGTTATTTAAGGCTCATAGAAACTGATATCTGTCCACTCAGTAATTCTGTTTAAATCAAAGTGAACAACTTTAGAACATGAAGTGGCTTGGTTGGTTAAGGCCAAAATGAGGTACCCAAAGTTAAAAGTAGAAAATATTTGAGATCCCCTAATCATTCAAATCCTTTATGACTTACATACTAAAAATATCCTGGGGTGTCCCATTGCCCATGAATAGAAGACAGTACGATTACTCTAGCAAGTACACAAATAACAGTGTAAAGGCTTCTTGGGAATCATTAATTAGATCTAAAGCCCGTGAACCTCCTCTGATCATGAGCAATCCAAGCATCATTGTGGTCCCCCCTGCTTCATGAAGAACATACAGTAGGATGATAAGAACTTGTTTAGACTCACAAAAACATCAGAAGCACTACAGCGAAACCCAGGTTTTCTGATGTTCTGCACTTGGAATATAATCTGTCTGAAATTTAAACCTTTTACTAAAAATACTATTATTCTTGCCTATCATGAAGAATGATTTCTCTTGGTAAATGAAGGCAAAGCAGCCCTGTGGGTTTGAGGCCCTGATTTACATCAGAATGAAGTATCATTCAATTAAAGCCAAACACAAAGTACTTATATTTCAGTTCTCCCAGGGTCACCTTAGCTAAGGACAGAATCCTTGAAGCTCCCATTACCTAGACTTAGGCAAAGCCAACCATTTTTTTCAAGAACAAACAAACAAACAAAAAAGCCCTAGGTTTCCAATGACATTACATAGATTTCACTGTGAGTATAAATTATTTTGCTTCTACTTCTGGTAATTAACCAAGAGGCTGAAGGCCAGGACAGTCTTACCAAGCATCATAATTGCCTTTAAGACAGCAAAAACGGCTCCCACTTCTATGCTGTTGTGAGCTGCAGCTAAGAGGTGTCTATCACAGGATGATCTTATTCCAGGGAAAGGTTTGCCTGTAAAAACAACAGCAAACCCTTAATGGCCTCTTCACCATCATTAACCATCTTCTGTAACCATTACAGTCAGTAGGGTCTTTCATTGTTAGCTTGTGGGCACTGAATTGACATTAGTTTGCTTTAATTGATGCTCATGGAATCACTAAGAAACACTGCCAGTATTCTTACTTAACCTTTTCTTTAATTATTATTAAAACAATGTTTCTGCTCCTCAGAGAGATGTAGGAAAAAGATTAGTAGGATTCCCACACAGATGCATCCATCTCTATATGGAAATGATTTAGACTTCACTAATACCCCCCTATTGCCTTAGGAAAAAGTAAATAAATGAGTTGTCATCCCTCTAAGCTGAGATGGCATGCCCAGAATCAACACAGGGTATGTAAGAGGATGAGACTTCCCACCAGCATGGTATTTCCTAAGAGCCCAGGCATTTTTATTGTTTATTAATTCCTCGTGTTTATTTCCCAATATTTCCTCATCTTACATAATGAAAGGTGCTGACAGCCCTTTCAGGGGCATTATCTCAGTCTTCCATCATCTGCAGATCAAGCCCACGGAAACCAGGGAGGAAATTATAAGCTGGACAGCTCTCTTGGTCACAGCGGAACCCTGAGTTCCAAACCAACACAAATGCAGAGCTTTCTCTGAGGTCAGCTCACCTGTTGCTTGAGGGAAAAAGCAGGCCTGGGGAGCTCGGAAGAGATGAAGCAGGAGGCGGCATGTCATTCTCGCCCCGGGCTCTGCATCCGCATCTCCACAAGCTGGAAAGATGGGGAGATTAAAAGCAAGCCTCCTCACATACTCCAACAACAAGCTTTTCAGGTTTTTTACTGCTAAAATTTCAGTAATACATTAAATCAATTCTCCTTTTAGTAAGGTCATTCGTTATACCTTTCCAAAGAACCTTCACGCTGCCTTGAAACCAAGTATAAAGCAATAGCAGATTCCTGTTCCAGAGTTCAATGTTACTCTGCATAAAACAGCTACTTCAGTTATACTATCCCCACCAGGTACCATGCCACTCCGTAAGACAGTCCTTTCCCTATGCTTACATGGTCATACATGACTACCAACAGGCAACCAATAACAAAAGCAGCTCCAGGCCAGCTTACCTGCCGCTAGAAGAGAGGGGAGTGCGACATGTTGCACGACGTCCTCCAGGGAGAAACACTGTCGTGCTATCAGGATAGCAATGAAAGTAGCTAATGAATCATGGAATGAAAGGTCACTCACCTTCAAGAAAAACATTGACAGGTTTTAATACCCAACACCCTTTAATACGGTATCAGAGACCACTATCTAAGAGAATACCGGCAACACAGTAAGATCGCAAATCTCGGTAAGAACCAACAGAGGGAAATGACTTCGATTACTGTCTTTTGGGCCTATTTCTATGATCACAAGAAAAGAAAGTTCACTCATAACCCAATGTTCTAGGCAGATGTTGACCTTTAACTTATTTGCACGCAACTGAGAAAATGCAACAGAAGAGCAAAATCAAGAAGCTACTAAAAGATGTATCATAATTGGAAGTTGCCAATGGAATACAGTATGTCATTTGTGGGTAAGGCAGGAAGCAGGAGATTCCCCTAGTGGGAAAACATGACCCTAATACTTGAACATTCTTTCCTGTTATAACTAATGCATTTTTTTAATGTGAGAGAATTCATTTAAAAAGAACTCTGAAAGCTTTCAACAGGATGTTAAATTTAAAGAGAAAGAGGAGAGAAAGGGGGAGGACAATTAATTCTGCCACAGTGAAACCTCTACATTCCAGATTGCACAAGGCACCGGAAGATAATTCTAAGGGAACACAACTACCACAATGGCAAACTTCCAAGGGATTGGTAGACGGTGCAGCAAGTCACAAAAGTAGATTTAAGAAAAACTTGGGTCTTTGTTTGTGTGGAAAAGCAGCCTATCGCATTGTGTTTTGTATAAATAATATCTTAATCCGTAGAATGAAGATAAGGGGGCAGGACTGTCCATTCTGTCCCCAAACACCAGATACAGGAAATGAACCTCAGTTTCACAACTGTTAAGTTTCTTTAATAACATATAGAAATCCCTGACAAAGATCACTAACAGTAAAAGCAAAGATGGATTAAAAAATCTAGATAAATATTTAAGACATATACATCATGGGTGCAACAAGGAACACCAGGAAGTTATGTACATGATTTGGACAATCTCTCCATCACTCTTTAGGCATACTCTGAGAAACACTGAGTATCCTTTGAGTCTACATATGGCTTTTTTTTCGCAAAATAAAAACATCTATATTCTTTACTATGTACTGGTTCTCTTCATGCATGAAATGCTTTATGTCCTGTTCTGAGGACTCCAAGCTGGAAAAGAACAAAAGAGCTCTGAGACCACTCACATATAAAACCTTAGCCACTAGAACATGTTGGAATTTCTCCTATTTATTTTGATTTTTTAATTTATTTAATGCATGGTCATGGCACAGAAAAACATTTTGCTATGTTACCATTTAATTAATTAAGTAGTAAAAAAGATGAGCTAAATTTTAAATTTTGTTTTTTAAATACAGAGAAAACTTACATCTACAGTGCAGAGTACATCATTAAATCCCCACACATGATTTGAAGAACAACAAAGAGCCTTCAGGACCCCCAGCCACTCGGAACTAAGAACTGTACAGCAAGCAGTTAACTCAGAGGAGAAATTGGCTATGTCATTTATCCTAGAAAAGAGAAAGAAAATAGCAGAAAGTGATTTGGTACAAATGAGGAATGATTCTAGGTGACTGCTTTATTAAATACATGTTTCATTATCATTAAGCATCACTTAGATTTAAGGATATAATTAATACCACTTGTCAAGTAACATTTGATTAGCACACTGAATTAGCATATTTAGGTTATATGAATAAATCTGATCTATACTTTTACATTTTATAAGAATAAAAAATTAAAGACACAGAGATGGGTATATATCGTGTGCAAGATCCTGGGTTCAATCCCTAGTACCACCAAGATAAATAGTTAAAGATACGATGTAATGTAAGTAGATCCAAGTATAGTTTATATCAAAATATAGTATTCTTTTCAAAATTGTATATGCTTTCCAAAATGAATCACAACTAAAAAATATCCCTTGCCAAACCAAGAATCTAAAATTCACTGTTTCTTGGGTTAAGAAAATTAGTAAGATATAGCAGAGGAAGAATCAACAATAAAAGAAAAGCAAATGTGAGCTCAGGTAACTACTAAAGAAACACCAGATTAACTCCTCTTTGATTACCGATGCATTCAGGGCCAAGAAACTCACCGGCCGGCGTCCTGGTGTCCCATGCACACATTCATGAGCGTGTTGCAGACAAAGCTGTACCGATTCGCAGCATTGTCACTGAGGATCTTGCCCAGCATTGAGTAGTTGATGCTTCTTGCTGAGGGATTCTCAATAAAATCCATCATAAAGTCTGGATCCCAGCGTAAGTTGGAATTTGCAGGCATTACGTTATTATAGATGGTCTGCTTTACTTTGGAACAGGCACTACTAAGGTTAGAGAAAAATAGTTACAAAAGGGAAAAACAAAAGAACAAAACAACCAAGAAAATCACTTCACTTAAGGACACGATAAGTGGCAACAACTCTAAGACTTTCCTGGACAATCAACATCCTACTATTGATAATCTCAAATTCTCTGTAAACCAGCGTAGGGTACAAAATCTAGGATACAGTAATTGCTCAATGAAGAATTTTTTAATTTATATATGGAAACAAAATGAGGTATTTAGTTACTAAGCTGAGTTATTTTCTAAATCTTTTCTGCACGTATATGCTCTAAAAACATCAATGTATTTACTAATCCATCCAACAACTGTCTCTCTCTTAAGAATAGTTATAAAGTGCTATAACTTAAAAATAAAAATGGATCCAATTGCACACCAGGAAAATTTCAGGGTTTTAATACCAACTGTAAACCCCAGACCCTATTCTTTTGCGTATAGTATGCCCAGTGGCAGCTCCTGTGCCAAAGCTACTGTGGGCATTGGGCCACAGCTGTGTCAAGTTGAACCTCCTGCATTCACAGAGCTCACACTCTCCCTATAGATAATATAGTCAATAGTATGAAGAAACTGTTACAGCAAAAAAATGTAGAACATGTTTCTCAGCAACAGGAAAAAAAAACATAAATAGCTTAGCATAGCATTATACACCTATAATCCCAGCACTTGAAAAAGGAGAGGGCTCTAAGTTCTAGGCCCGCTGGGGCTGTATCTTGTATTTCTTGTCATTCTGTGCAACAAGTAAACGTTTTAAGAGCCTGCTCTATCAACTGAGAATTTACAGTGGGTTACATCTGAGTAGATATGGAATACTAGAAATAAAAGAGAATTAGAATGTATTCTCCATCACTTCTTTGTAGACGAAAGATGATATAACGCCACAGTTTTCACATGGAACTATTCATACCCTCTTGCTGTGAACCGGAAATCCATAAGCAGCATCCCTTTCCTACTCAAGAGCTCTGCTGTGTAGTAGGGATTTTTGGGGGGATCGAGTTTCTGGCAGATGAAACTTTTATTATTAGGGTGACACAGAGATCTACCAAATCTCAGAAGCCCAGCCAACTCTGCTTTTCCTTCTCAATTCCCACCCCACTTTGCCCTCAGATCCTGACTTCTCTGGAGTGCCTCTCCGGCTGGACATCTGAACTTCTCTAAACTCTGTACCTTTCCTTTCTAGACTTGTTATCTCCTTTATCACACTCTCCAAGAGGTGCTTCTATGTGTTAATAGTATGCTGGCTACCACTACGACTATTCTCTCATTCTTCCCACTCTCTGCTGCCTACACACAGGGAATGAAGCCAAAAACTCAGGCATGTTCCTTCTGTAACCGCATGTCTCAGAAGAACATGATACAGTAATGAAAGCAATGACTGCCTTGAGGTCAGAAAACCTGTTCTAAGTCCAGGCTTCATCAAATGTCAAAAATGATCAGGAACACTACTGGTGGGTAAGGAAACACACTTCTGGTTCCTGGGGTTCTGACAATTCAAAACCTCAATGGAAAAACCAGCACAGTACTTGGCACACAGGAGCTTGAGCAGCAGTAGAAATGGTTAGTGTTATACTTCCCCCAAATGTCTTCCTTACACAATTTTATGGTGTTTTAGGTAAAATTATTAAAACTTTTATTACTACTATATTAACAGAAATCTCCCTTCACATTTGGCTTCTTTTTAAATGTTTTTTCTAACCTCCAAGCAGAGCTCTGACTACATAATATCCCAAGAAAGCTGCCTTCTTTTCCTGTTTCTTTTTGAGGACAGTGCATACATTATCTGTGATGCCTACCCTGCTCATGTTAGGAGCACCTTAGCCCACTGCTAGACTCCTAAATATAAATCCAGAGCAGTAGGGGCTGGCCACCATTAAAACCAAGGTTGTTGCAAAAAGCCCATCTTCAATAAGAATACTCTTTTGAGAAATACAAACTGAAAATTCAAAATGAAGTAAGAGAACATAATGAAGTATTTTTATTGTTACACCATTCTCATGAAAAACATTTCCTGAGACTCATTCAGATATTTTTACAAAGGTTACATTTTCCATAGTTTTCTTTATTAACACTATTAATCTTTCGTTCAACAGCAGTGCAATTGTGCAATGGTAGAACAGACAAATTGTTTTTGTGTCAAAATACAGTAATGCCTACTAAGAAGTTATGCAATCTTCAAAATTTGGGGATAAAAGAGTGAACAATATAAGTTCTCTGGAGATCTGCATCCCAGAGAGGAGCCAAACCATAAGTAAATAAATACACAATGTACGGGGGAGGAGCAACTGATACTGAGGTTTCTAGAATGAGGGACTGAGAATGGGTTCTCATTTAAAACAAGGCTGTTGGAGAGCAAGGCTGCAGATGGTGTGTAATGGTGCACATGCACCAAACTGGGCCGAGCACCACAAGCAAGGGAAGAGCGGCAGCAGGTAGAAAGTGCTCTGGGTGTGAGGACCAGAAGGGAGCTTTCTGGGGACAGGGGAGAACATAATGAAGGAGAGGGTGAAGGCAGTGAAGCCAGTGAGGAGGACTCTGCAAGTTGGTCAAAGGAAGAGATGTCTGTGATGGAAGTGATGGGGATACTGCAGAGTGGTCAAACGCAATACATACATGAAAGCTAGAGCTCATGGCATGTATGAGCAAAGTGAACATCGGGCATGGAAGAGCTGAGAAAACCATAACTGACATGTTTTCCATATTCCTTCTGGAGTCCTAACACCCTCTGCCACATTATTACCTTCTCCTACAATTAATAATCTAAAATTCCTCAACAGGCACTTACTGTCTAGCACTTTTGCTGCCTATGGAAGCAACAATGCTAAGCAACGGATGAAAGGAATTGGGGATCCTACTTAACAGACAGTCAAGAAAGTAGGGGCACAAAGGAAGAGGCAAGCATGCAAAGACCTCTGAGAGAATGGTCCATGTGAGGTCAAAGCAAAGGGAAGATACTAAGCGTTTCTACTCAAGAAACTGTAGCCACAGTACACAAACAGCAATGTGTTCTAGGACGAGGCTCTAACTCTACTGCAAAAAATTAATTCACTATGAAAGCTGAATCCGAGTTCTGAGAGGATAAAAGTATCAAGTTTATAAAGCCAAAAGCTTTCTGGACTCCTTTAAAAATGTTCCTAAAGCAACACCATCGATAGGAGTAAAATTCTTGGCAGGACAACGGTTGCAGTTTAAAGACATAATGACCAAACTGCAGATTTAACAGCATCCTCTCATCATCCACACAGGATTATTATAATCTGTCATGTCCCAAACATCAATATTTATCAAATTGTAACTGAGTTGAATAAAACAGGTGAGGTAAATAATTGCTTTTGATTCATGTTGATTGGATGATAGAGAAGTGCTGGCCTTTCATTAGAAGATCATCCACAGCTGAAGAAGTGATATGCTAAAGAGTAAACTAGTTTTAAAAGGAGAAAATAAAGTTCAAAACACTGGTCTGAGAAGTGGTAGAAGATGAAGGTTACAGAGCCTTAATCGATCCCTAGGAAGTGGGAAGACTTTGCTACTTTATGATGCACAAAGAACACTAAATCGGAAAGTAGCCTGGGAAGTCTGCTAAGGGAGATGTGAAAACAAAGGAGGATGTGACAGGAAAGCATTGCCTCAATGAGCCTTCTGTGAGACGCCCCCTCCCCCAACCCCTAAGACAGGTTGTCCTGGAACTCACTATGTAGACCAAGCTGGACTCTAACTTACAGAGATCTACTTTCCTCTGCCACCTGAGTGCTGGGATTAAAGGTGTGCACCACCTCTGCCTGATTCTTTAGTTAGACTTTTATCATTTAAATTCTATTTTAAATTAAAATAGAAACATATACCAAAATTTTCACATGACTTCAATAAGGCTTATCTGAAACTTCTAAAAGAATGTGAAATCTTAAATAAGAGATCCTTTCTCATGGGTGACGTGTAGTTTGTCACCTAAAAATAATCCTGTAATCACATACTTATTGTCACTAGGTATTTTAGTATTCTATTTACATGAGTTGAGAAGATCAAATACTTTAGATGAAGTTACATTAGCACATAGGATGTAAGCAGCAATGGGATCATTAACAAACACAGACGTGGCCATGTCTGTGTTTTGTTGCTTTTGTCCTGCTCACCTGAAAAGGTCTCCAAATTTACTTCTGAGGTGGCTGCATGACACATAGAGGTCATAGAGATAGGCCAGGATACATCTTTCAGGAGAAGAGCATTCCGAGGGGTTGACAACATGCTTCACCACGCCACACAACCTGAGGACAGAGACACAGGGGTAAAAAAGGCACATGCCTTGATAGTATGTGAGTAATTGATGAAATCTTTAAAGTGAGAATGTGTCTACCTAGTACTTGGAAATATGTATCCGACATCCAAAAAAGAAGCCTGGTTGTTCATAAAAATACAAAGTTATTAAACATCAATTTTTGTTATGCTGAATACTAGACAGGTTTTTAAAAAAACAAAAACCTCAGAAACATCACGGACAGTAAGAAACAAAAGTAATAAAAGGATTTCCCCAGCACTTTGGTGCACATGGGACTTAAGCTGCTATGACTAGAACACACAAGGAAAGGGTAGGCAGAAAAGTTCACGGCAATACAACGTTTCCCAAATTCAATCGGTTGGCAAAAACTGTCAAGTTCACTAGTTTGGAAAGAAACAATTCTTCAATGCAGGGAATCTGCTGAACTTGATGAATTCATAGTTTGGAATCCCATTTCTCTTGTTTATCCTAACTACAGGCAAATTTATCCTGGTTTATCTTACGTGAAAAATAAAAGTCCATTCTCTTTAGAGGCATCCTTTATAATAATGCCTTTCTTTCCAAAGTATCAATACCACAGCCACTGTCCTCCATTCATAACCATGGACTCCTCTGTTCATACAACATGGAAGGCAGTATGGCATAGAAGGGAACACCTGTGATCCACCATACACATGTCTGACGCCACCACCACCAAGTATCTGACACAGGTCTCTGCATAACATGTCACCAATAACATCACAGATGACTCAAACCCTGCAAAGGGTTTAATAATCTTCCAACTCACCACCCTCACGGGACAGAGGGCTATCAGGTGACGTGATCTGAGCAGAGAAAGGAAAGGGGAGATTAGGTTCCCCTGTGCACAGTGTGGACCACTCTGCACCCTTCAGAATACAGACTAGGAACAGCAGGAGGCAGTCTGCCATATACAGGCCTGTTAGGGACAGGAATTCTCCAGCATCAGAGATGGATGCCAGGAGAATGAAGGAACAGCCAGTCTGAAGGAATGTCACCAGACGGCGCCACTTGGTGAGTATACAAGAGGGCAACAGATGCAAGGATCAGGCAGTTCAAGAGAGAAGCAAGGACTTAGTCTGTTGGTTATACGGAAGCCAACATTCCCAACATGACATAGAAAGTAAAGAATTATCCTGTGACTAAAATAAACAAATACAACTGATGGCCGAATTCATCCTACAGTAGGGGTTGCACTTGCCAGAAATAAAAACTGTGATCTGATGTTCCCAGTCATATGGGGGGGGGAGGGGAGCTGATTATGATTTTAGTGAAAAGAATACCCTACTATGTGCCATAGTTAGAGTCAGCTGTCAACCTGACAGGACCCTGAGTCACTTGGGAAGGACCCGGGGGACGAGACTTAACTTCTAATTTACATAGGAGGGTCCAGTTTACTGAAGCCTGCGCCATCTCTAGGCAGATGGTCCTGGGACATACAGAAAAACAAGCTGGGCAAGCCAAAGAAGCAGGCCAGTAAGCAATACCGTTCCTGGACCAAGATTCCTTCCTTGAGCTCTTGTCTAGGTTTGCCTCAATGATGTGGCTATAACCTATACACTGAAATAAATCCTTTACCCAAGTTGATTTTGGTCATGGTGTTCACCACAGCAACAAAAAGCAAACTAGGGAATTGTTCATAAGGTAAAAATATAACAAAGTTAAGCCAAATAGGATTTTGTGAATATTAAATAAGATATTTTAAATGTAAAAATAAATTATACTAAAACAACTTTGAACTAACAATATAAGAACAACCAAACAAAAATACTTTCTCCAACTCAGTATGAGTTCATGACCATTGAATGAGTTATTAAATGAATTATTTAAAAACTGAATGAATGGTTTAAAAAAATAGTATTGATAAAACAGTAATGAATCAACTTCCAGTTAATAATTCTTGTGAAAATTTTCAAGATTTATTAGTCCTGTGATGTTGGGCACATCACTTCCAAACTCTGCACCTGTTAAATGACAGAAAAGTGCAGCCTTATATACACACATAGTTCCTCACGCTTTAAGGTTTTTGAGATTTTAAGCTACACGTACTATTAATACACGCAAACCTTTTTTGGTTTTCTAAGAAAAGCCTCTGTAAAAAATGATGCCACTCAAGAAATACTGCTTATAAATTAAATGCATGTGTTAAGGTCACAGAGAAAAACAGACAAATGAGGAAATGGGAGAAAAAAAACGAACAGACTGTCTTTTCTTCTGAAAGGGCCTGGAAGAACAGGTGGGGAGTGGGCAACAAGAAGTGTGCAGAGGTTACCAAGAGCTCCTCGCATTTCTTTGGTCTCTTAAACACAGTCTTGCAGATACACTAGGCAATGACTCAGGCCACCTTCACAGGTGACAGTAGAGTGAGCCCTTGTCTAGCAGACACAAGCAGGCAGCTCTCGTTAATTAGGAAGACGATGATGAGTGAGTTTCTGCAGTGCAAGTGTGTTACAAAGCTTATTTGGTGTCTGATTCTTCACACATAAACTGAGAACAGATGCACAGTTGCTGTGCCCACTGTTGTCAGTAAGCCATGATGCTACGCAGCAGAGAGAAGAGGGCTGTGACTGACAAGGAGATGGAGAGGAGAGCAACAAGTAAACACAGAGGCAATCACACACTCTTCCTCTATTTATAGCTCCTTCTCTAGGAAATAGTTTCCGTAAAACTATTTTTAGGTACGTTTTCATTGACTACTTAATAAGACATTTAAATTGTCAAAATAAATGGTATCCAAGTTGTTTAACTTGGGGCTTTTATGTGATTCCTAACAATGGAAGTGGGGGTGTCTCTGACTCTTTTTTTCTGCTCATGGGATCCCTTTCCTCCTTCTGGGATGCCTCATCCAGCCTTAAAACGAGTGTGTGTGTCTGGTCTTAATGCATCCTGTTATGCCATATTCAGATGATAATGACTGGGAGGCCTGCTCTTTTCTGAAAGGAAATGGAGGAGGAGTAGATCTCAGGAAGAGGGGAGATAGGGAGCAACTAGGAGAAGGGAAGAGAGGAAGGGAAGGCTGAGGTCAGGATGTATTATATGAAAGAATAAAGAAAAAGAAAAATCACTACTTCAAACCAACAGTGTAAAACCAAATATATTTCTTATAACTCAGCACAATTTTTTTCTCCCCAAATCACTGTATTTTATTATGAATTCTACCTTTTAGGATTAGAAAGAAACAATGCCACTTATATACCCACCCTTCAAACACCTGGGCTGTCTGATCAGGATTTAGGATCAGGCAACTATGATACCGCCTGAGAACAGCCACGATGCAGACGCACAGTCCTGTAGTGTAACTTCCTGCCAGGCTAGAAGACTTCAGGAGCAGCTCAGCTTCCACCACACTCAGTTCATTCAGTAACTGCAACAGGAAAAGCCAGTGAAGAGAATGTAGGTCACAAAACAACAGGAAACCCCTTCAATGAACCACTAATGTACTGTTCTATACATGGCTTCAGAAAACACACCAACTTTTGCAACTATTTGCTTTGAAGCCCTTTCTAATTTAAACAAATGTTCTTCTGTCTAGACACTAGTTTGTATACAACCAGGATATAAATAGTGCTGAAATGCTTACCCAAACTTTCTACTAGCCCAAAATCCTGGACTGGGTCAATTTAAAGAACAAAATGATTATTTTTTTCTTTTTCCTTTTTTTTTTTTGTTTTTGTTCTTTTCTCTTTCTTTTGAATGCAAAGCAAGTAATAACTACTTTCTTATTTATAAAGCTAGGAGCTAGTATACAATAAAAAAGCAAGCCTAATGTTTATTCATTAACACAAGGAATAAGTGGACTAAAATGTGTGTAACTACAGTGGGACAAATGAAATTATAAGGACTATTTTAGAAGTCATTTTTGCTTTTCACTGATAAATTTGACTACAGAGAAAACAGTATTTCATCATTCCCCAAGCAAAATAATAAGGACTCAAAAACAAAACAACAAGAACAAAAAACCCTTGAAGCCAAAATAGTTCTAAATGGCAGGTGTGTTACTAGCACCAATTATGACCTAACAGGAAAACTGTTAACTCAGAATGTCTCAAACACTTCCAAACACACTAGGTACTGGAAACAGTTTTCATACAGTGAAGGTGGTGCATGTTCACAGGCATGACATGGTTCCAATACAGAGAGAGTTGGGGTAGAAAAGCGATTGGAAAAGCTTAGTCATTGGACACTAAGTTCAATTAGATAGGAGTGAGGGATTCTCGTATAACACAGCAGGATGATTGCAGGTAACAGCAAGCGCTATATCTAGCAAAATTAAAGGGAAAAGAACTCTTGACAGTTTCTAACATCAAGAGATGATGTTTGAGGACACACATATGTTTAACTTGATATAAAGAATATAAATAACACATACATGTTTTGAAGCATCATATAGTGCCCCAGAAACCCTACAATTTTTTAAATATTTTTATACAAGTTAGAAAGTAAATTTAAGGGACTTGTAAGTGATTCCATGGTTAAGAGCACTGTCTGCTCTTTCTGAGGACCTAGGTTCAGTACCCAACACCCACATGATGTCTCACAAGCATCTGCAATTCCACTTCCAAGAGAACCAATGACCTCTTTGGAACTCCACAGGCACCAGGCACACACATTGTGCACATATGCATGCAGGAAAGACACCCCAACACATAAAATAAAATAAATCTAAAAAATAGAAAATAAATAAATTTAAGCCAGGTCACAAGCTTGAAGCCTCAGGTACTCAGAGGAGTACTTCACTTCAGATGGAGGTTTCAGACCAGCTGAACAACAGAGTGACATCCTGACTTTTAAATCAACAACTAGAAAATTTAAAGAAACAAGATAAGCTCTTTAATGTTTGGTAGGTTTGGTTTCCTAAATATGAGAAAGACACAGTCTCTTTGACACCTGTATTGCAAAGTCAATGAGTCCATTGATGTTCAGTGCTGGTTCCATGAGGTCAAAGATGAGTTGAATATGGTGAGCCAAAGGGAGGTGATAGGACGTTCCAGATGCAAAGCTTGTAATTTGCTCCAGCACATTGTTAGAGATCTGCTCAGACAAAAGCAAGGAAAATCACCAATAGTCTGGGTGACGCTTCAGTTAGATAAATTACTTTGATTTTTAAAGTAACACATATTCATGGGATTCTACTTAGAAATTAGAATGTGTTTCCACAGAAATCAAAACATATACAAATGAGCATTCTTTTCATTATGATTTGAAAAAAAGTAAGACAAATTACAGTTTAATCTATTTACTGATGACACCAAAGGGGAAGCACCCAGAAGTATTAATCACCAGACACACGGACATGTTAACTGAAGAACAATGGATTTCTTCTCAATTTCACAGTATTTTACTTAAATCATCAACAGGTTTCTCCTTCGCCAATAGTGATATTGGGTCAGCATATCATAAAATAAGTACATTAGGAATTATTTTTGTATAACTTAAATTAAAAAAAAAAAAACACATGTTGAAGGAGGCAACCTGACACTTAAAAATGAAGCTTGAGAAGCTTCCAAGTCTACAAGGTACATCAATAAAAATTAAGGCTCGAAATACACTGTTTGAGATTTTTAAGGAAGTAGAACTATTTAAAACGTGTGAGAAAACAGTCTGGAATGGCTACCTGAGATGTCACTTGATGTTGATCAAAGTATGAGAGGAGCTGGAGTTTCGTGAACACAGTTTCCGGGGTTGGAAAAACTTCCTGCTTGCTCTTCCTGGCTTTCTGTCCTTCATCCCCAACTAAATAAACACAAGATGTGTTACTTTCCTCTGAAATCAAGCTCTTCATGTTTTTAAAGATACTTTTTTGGATGTATGTATGTATGTATGTGTGCATATTCGCCTATTATTACATCTGTGTACGGAGGCCAGAGGAAAAAACATCTAGTGTCATCCCTCAGGTGATATCACTATCTTATTTTATTAGGGACTGGCCAAAACTCACCAAGTAGGCTAGACTGGCTAAGGAGTAGAAGAGATCCGCCTGTATCCAGTCACACCCCTCCCCTGCCCTCCTTCAGCAATTGTAATTTGCTCCAGCACATTGTTAGAGATCTGCTCTAGCATGCTCCATCACGCCCAGCTATTTTTATGTGTGTCATGGCATGTTACTAAATTACCTCCCCTGTCCCCAGCTTTTTATGGTACTTTTTATTGAAGTATAGCATATGTAAAAGAAAGCATATATACTCTGCATTGTCACAAAACAGAATGAGATCCAAATATTGAAATAAAACCTCAGAAGTCTACCTATATACCTCTCTAAATCACCTCTGCTTCCCCCAGGGGACAAAGATTTGGACATCTTCCATCTTGAATGGGTGGAAACCTTCACTCAACATCATGTTTTCAAATTGGTTCATTGTGGAGGTAATTTTAATCTGTTTGAAAATTTAATAATTCTCACATACATTATTCCAATATATAACATTATTTATTAATTCTAGTGAATAATGACTAGATTCTGGCTATCATAAATTGTCTATATAAACATTAATCATTAAGTGACTTTTAAAACACAACAGCGACAATAAATGACCACGGAGAGGGAGCATCAAGGCCCACTATGATTAAACAGGCCATATTTTAGGCTTTAAAAATTATGTATTACTTTTTATTTTGTGTTCATATGCAGTCACCATGAAACATGTGGAGAGATCAGAGGAAAATGTGAAGGAAATGTCTCCTTCAGAAATTAAATTCAGGTCATAAGGCTTGATGACAAGTTCCTTTGTCCACTGAGCTATTTTACTGGCTTTTAGACTCACCTCAGGTATTTTTCTAAGTCAATTAAATATATATGAATATTTATTTATAAATAAATTTACACAATTTTGCTCATTTGAAGGAACTCTTGTTTTTCTTCACAGCTAAGAACAAAATGCAAAATTACAATGAAGTACCTAGAAACAGGACTGCATCTATGTATTTACAAAGACAAATTTGAAAACAAAACCTAACGGTTGGGCTACAGATTGTCTATCTACCAGCACTGTGTGCTAACAGGTCAGCAGCAACTCAGAAAGAGCTCTATGACTCAGTCTCACGTGGGAAACATTAGTTCAGACAACACACGTGTTTTATTTCTTTACGTAAGGCATAAGAAGTCAGCTATATTCCATGCTATTCCACAATACTTTGCTAATGGCAAATGTAATGCCTTAGAAAATTACATCAAAAGTAGACTTCACTTTGAACAGTAAGTCAAATAGAGAAACAAACCTAGTTGTCATGTTTCAATTTAATACAACAGATAGTGATACCAGAACAAATACCTCAGCAAGATGTGCGGGCATCAGAAAGGGGAGACAGCTCAGTTAGTGAACCGCTTGCCCTGTAAGCGCAAGGCTCTGAGTGCAGATCCCAGAACCCACACTTAAGAACCAGTGCTAGCCGGGCCGTGACACCTGCCTGTAATCACAGCACTGGGAGGCAGAGACAGGACAGCTAGTACAGACTAGTTGTTGAGTTACGAGCCAGTAAATGACCAAGTCTCCAAACAGACAGACAGACAATGGAGGGCTCTGGAAGAACGACACATAAAGTTGTTTTCTGACCTTCACAGGCACCACACACAGGCACACACATAAAAGCAGTGTTAGTAAAACACGCTGAAATCCCACTTCTGTCAAATGAGACCAAATACAATACAGATTAGAACTATCGAATTAATGAAACTTCCTTCTCCTAGAATATCTATTCTCATAAGCACAAGTTAAACATGGGATGAGGTCTTCTCTACAGCTGTTCTTATATGTGTCGTAAGTTAATTTGACATATCCAAGTTTTGGTTTAGCTTTCAATTCCCTAGTATCATTCAAAACTGAAAAGGCTGGGCCTATTGTCTTGTGTACAAAATGCTTAAAAACATGAAGTTAATACATTAATTCAGTCTTCTGAAGACGAAAACAAACACAAAAGACTTGAGGAAGTAGGCCTTGCTACAACTTGCAAAGTGCATTTTTCTTTGCTCATTTGTGCAAACAGGCTCCATTACTGATATATGTAATGTCATAAGAGCTCAACTGAAAAGATATAATTGAGTCTTGCAATTTAGAAAGAATAATACCGGTATTTAGTGGAGGTTCAAAATGAAAGATTACAATGTCATTTGTACAACTAACAATACACTTTTTTTTTTTTTTCCGTGACAGGGTTTCTCTGTGTAGCTTTGGAGCCTATCCTGGAACTCACTCTGTAGACCAGGGTGGCCTGGAACTCACAGAGATCTGCCTGCCTCTGCCTCCCAAGTGCTGGGGTTAAAGGCGTGTGCCCCCAGTGCCTGGACTACACTTTTAATATAAAGGCTTTTCATACCCATTTTCTTGTTTTCATAACATACATTATTGCTCCTTAACTTTTACATTAAAATTATAGGCCTTTAAATTCTGAAAGCGTTGACCTTTCAGATGGTGAACTGGAAATGTTATTTACACTTTAACTTAGGAGGATCAGAGGTAGCTCAGTTGGCAGAGTGCTTACTTAGCACGCAGACAGACTGGGTTCCAGCCCTAGCATCACATCCACAGGGCATGGTGGTGTAAGCCTGCAATCCTAGCATGAGAGAGACAGAAGCAAGAGGAACAGAAGCTCAGGGTAAACCCCAAATTCCAGCCTGGAAAACAGAAAACCCTATCTGAAAAAGACAACTTGTAACAACAAAAGAAATCCCCGAGGGGAAGCCGGGCTGGTTCTCCAAGCATCTTCAAGTGTTCCTCAAAAACCTAAGTTTTGTTATCCCAACAACAAAATACATGCTAGTCCAAGAGTTTGGTTTTTTTTTCTTACTAGTCTTCATTTTGCTGAGTTAGGTAGGTGTGTGTGTGTGTGTGTGTGTCAGGAGAAATTTCCATTAGCCTCAAGTACAGTTGGCTAGCTGCTGGTATATAAATGAGGTCTTAAATAATAGCTTAAAATGAAGACTATTTATCAGATGGCATAACATTGTATCTGAAATCAGTATCATTAAAATAGAGAAAAGGAAAAAAAAATCCCCTCTGGAGATACCACTTTGAAATGGTGTTTATGTGACTGATATTTTGAAACGCTGAACAGGAACATTTCTTTTTTTAGTCCATATGCAAGAACTGTCTACTTAAGGGTTTGGTACAGAGACAGAACAGGTGATTGTCTGGCATTAAAACACGACTGTGAAGGAAGGAAGTAGGGTCAACAGAAAAGACACCACACTGTTTCCTTCCCCTTCAACCTCCTTTGGTCTTTCTAAACCAGAAATTTCGGAGATCTGCAAAGGTCCTCTACATCAATTTGATGAATTAAGCATGGCTGCGCCTCTTGTAGGCATCAGCACTTCGTACCCCCATTCCAACTGTATATACCAAAAGCTGGTTTGAATGTCCTTTGCTAGAAGTTGCACGGCTTCTAAATTCAATCTTCTAACGCAACTCATTTCCTCTTTTCTCTGAGAGAGAGAACACAGCACAACTGATAAATAGTTTTCTTAGACAGAGCAGTTTCTTGCTCAAGCTTGACAAGAAGCCAGGAAAAGACAATTTCATTTCCCTTTCTCAGCTCCTGGTCATTTCTCATTATGCTGGTGTATTTGAAGGCCCTGAACTGGCAAGGGAAGGGAGCCAGGGGACAGGATGGAGATCACCCATGAGGGCCACTGTGTCCTCCAAGCCTCAGATGCTGTCCCTCAGAAAACAGGCTGAAACACAAACAGGTAGTCCTTCTGCTCTGCTCAGGCAGGTACACCTACGTTGATGGCAGAAAAAGTATCTACTTCAGTGATTTCCACTTCTAGGAAAAGTCTAGTATACATAAGCAAGCCCTAGTAGTTTATCCAGTTAACGTCATGAAAAAGGGAAGGGCTCCCAGAGGATTCTTCTCAAGAAGGAAAACCTCACATAGGAAAGTGAGCTCTCTGCACGGGCCAAATGCAACCCTTTCCTCCTTTATATTATTGAAGTGTTACAGAGGGAAAGACCAGTGGTGGTGCTAAGGTATAAAATGGTGCCATGTCATGACTATGAAATGATGTAAACCTCAAAAAGAGTAATTAGGCAAATATGAAGTAGATAATTAGAGGACTCCAATTGTGCAATGTGATGACACAATACAAGGGCAAAGCTCTGGGGGGAAAAACTATGTGAAAAGAATAGGGAAAGAAATTTCTAAGTCAAAAAGGCATTATTAAAGATCAAATTGCCTCTTTCACTTGGAATTATTTGGTGACAGACTTAGCCATGACTAGTATCGCCATTATCCTTCTGAATAACATGAAATCATCAACTATACCATGATTGGCATCCAACATGAAATATGAGAGAACAGAGGAAAAAAACCACAAGCTTATAAAACCATGCAAAGAAAGGACTGTCTGCAGCCAGTGCCTCATCTCATTATTCAGTACGTCATCCACGGGGATGACCACAGAAAACATGGTACACACAGGAAAAAGTACAAAACATACTATATCTACCTACCGATGGTGGTGAATTAATAGAAAGGCTGCTAGTAATGAACACAAGACCTTACTATGTAAATGTGCCTATTCATATTTCAGTGTGACAGTCATTCAAGAGAGGAAGCACTGGTGACAGTGACGTGAACCACTTTGATAAAGCCTGTGAGAACAGGGAACACAAACAAATGCAAGGGGAGCCAGGGCACTGAGGCTCCTTACCCCCTGATTCCGTGGTGCTCTTCTTGTTTAGGATTTTCAGGATATCTTTGGTAATCTTCTTCAGCTGATGCCTGGCTTCATCACGCTCTTTCCCGACTCCATAGAGAAGGATTGTGCGCTGGTTACATTCATGACTTGAAGACTCATCCTGAAAAACAGCAAATGCCTCTGAAGCCGGTTTGCAGGACTGGGGGTACAGTGTATACTCCTGAAACACACTAATCACAGCCTCTCCATGCCTGCTTGTGGGGGTGGCATCTGCCTGCTCTGCAATTCACCTCAACCTCCACCGGCAACACCCCTGTTTTTCCAGTTTGGAACATGCTAAAGTAAAAAATAATAAAGTGCCAGCTGACCTGAAGCATTTGATGTGGGCGTACCCTACAGAGTAAGTTCTGGCTATTGAAAGATTTTTTCATTATCTAAATTTGAACATGGCATAAAATGATGATACTATTTCCTTAAGAAAAATATCATTTCCTTAGTGAGCTTGGTCTTAGATATACAGCAATAGTGTGTGTTTTATATTTAGGAGAAAAATCGTGCTAGGGCCTTCAAGTGCCTTCAGAAAAAGATACTACACTTACCGTATTAGACATATTAGTATCTATTTGCAGATGATAGGAAAAGTAAAGTATAAATTTCATTAGGCATAAGCTAAGTAGCTAGAAATACATAATCTGAGATGCTCACTATCACTCTTCCATTTAGACCTGACTCCTCCAATGATCATGGCAAATCCAAGCTCTACTGTTTTTTCCTTGTAAGAAAATAAATTACTGAGTCACTGAGTAATAAACATGAATCTAGCACTGAGCTGGATTACCCTTAGCCAGCTGTAACTGTCCAAGGGGTAGCCTAACTCCTAGGATTGGCTCAAACTTTTCAATGCTAATTTCTCCTTGACATCTTTTGTTTTCCACTTTCTGAATGAAGTTATTTATTTTTCAGTTGGATCTTTTAATATATCTCCCTCTTTTTTACTCTTTGTATAACATTGTCCATACTAAGGTATCCCCTTCCTACTCACCTCTTATCCTAAAGAATTCCTCCCTGGGGAAGAAAATTGCGTATGTTTTATCATTAGCCACAGTCAAACCCTTCAGAAGTGGGGAACTGCAGTGTTACCCACAGAATTATGTATGTTCTCTTCATACAGTAACAAACACCATGCTCCTGCAGCTGGTGAGGAAGCACCATGTTCACTCTCCAATTCTGTCATTTACACTTGTCTTCAGGTAACAATTCAATGACACTGGACTAGAAATAATACACATTTCCATTTCCTGTTGACTTATCTTTTTATATCCCTCTGCTAATTTTTAATGTTCCAATTGTCCAAATAGACCTATAGAGGTCCAAACTGGGATGGTGAAAGATAAAATATCCACACACTAATAACAACACAGGACAGCCACAGCCATATAGTATACCATGCTTAGGGCTGAGAGAGCTTGGAATGTATCTTAGTCATGACACTCAACAAACTCCATAATCCTGGGTAAAAAAAACCTAGTTCCTCGTCCCAGAATCTTCTTCTGAAGAAGAGGGTAATGCCATCTTCTATTTATTGTGAGAATAAGCGAGACATATGCGCACATGCAATGCCCTAGAACACTACACTACACACACACACACACACACACACACACACACACACACACACACACACACGGTACTCACTGTTCACATGCTAGACTCCCACTCCCCCCCACACACCCAGAGTCCACACTGTACTGCATTAATCAACGTTTCCCACAGACCTGCTTAAGCTCTTCCTGCCACCTAAAATGCAAGCTCTCAATTGCTCACATCTGCCTACCAGTAGAGTGTTAGGAGTCCATCAGTGTGCTTAGCACACAGGGACTAGGAAGGGGAAGAAGAGTTTGGAGCGTTCCTTAGGTAGAAATCATTGATTTTCTAGGTTGTTGTTCTTTGTCATCAATGGTTGTCTTTCTGAGTCCACCATTATTCTCCTTAGTAAGCACCAAGTTGGCCCTTAATGCCTGGTGAGAATACTAAGCAAAAAGGAAGTCAGTAGAATACAGAACAAACACGGCTAATGGAGGACTGAAGGGAAGAAAATGAGACAAAAATCATTGTTTTGTAGGAAACAGTTGGCTGCTAAAGTGCTAAGAAAGTTAAAGAAGTGAGAGACCAATAGAAAGTTCATGTTTATGTGGTGAACAAAGATTTAGTTGTGGGGATGAGGAACAGAAAGCAGAATCTAATGGGTACCTGATATAGAAAAGTATCAGACATCAGGGTCCAATGAGTGAATGTGCGCAACACTGGATTTCACTGAATTGATTTGAAAAAAATTGTTGGGGATAAAACAAGAAAGCGTACGGTTAATGAGTATTTGGTTTGATGTGGGCACTAATGGTGGTCAGAGCTGAGGCAGTAAGGACAGCATTAAGTCCTGAGAGAGATGCAAAACTTCCACTTTCTACTTAGGTGAGAAAAGTAGGTAGCTAAGATGGTGGAGAACAGGAACAAGCCATTGAAGGATGTGCACATCTGTGCTTCTTTACTTACTAAGATGCTCTAGCCATGCAAGGCCTAGAAATCAGGCTGGGAGACACAACAATAGGGACCATCAACCAACGGTCCACTAGGGACCAATGGAGGTAAGGGGTCAGCTGAGGTGTCACGTCTGTTTTTACTTTTTATTATTATTGTTGTTGTTGTTGTTGTTATTATTATTGTTGTTGTTGTTGTTGTTATTATTATTATTTTACTAAAAACGTGTGTATACCTCGAAAGAGGAGTTTCTCCAGAGTGGTTGTGCAGACAGCACAGCAGGACGCAGTGGGCTGAAGTAAGGGCTGCTGGGGAAGGAGTGCGGGGCAGGGGTGGCGGAGAAGAAGTGACTGGGGTTTACTAGGAGCTGAGCAGGAAGACTTTAAAAAAGAACGCTTGATTTGAGTCATAAACGGCCAACTCCTGATTCCAATGATGACACAAACAAGGACGCCTTCAATGGACAGCAAGTTTACAGAGCATATTATTGATGAGAGGGGGGAACAATGGGCCACTGTCTAGATTAACAGGGAAGACGAGGACACTGCCTTACCCAAGCACAGGGAGAGAAATTTCAGGAAAACAGCGCATGGGGACGAAGAAGTGAGGACCTTGAAGCCAGCCAGCCACTGGTGTGCTTGGGGGACTGACCCAGGAGGCACAGTCCTGATGGAGAGAGAGGTAATGGAGCCACTCCACAGCATGCAAGGAGATGGGATGGGTTCGACAGGGAGAAGACCTTACTGACTTCCTTAAGTTATCCGGAAAATAGTAGTAACTATTATTGGCCTTCCAACAGCAAAGGAGAAACATAATAACTTCTGAGACAGACATCCTCAGGAAGAAATAATGGAGTTGGCCAAATTAAGGTCTGCTCTAAGTCATCTTGATTTCTTCAAAATAAACATTAAGAATAATGGCCAAAATGTATGTGCTTATAAAGTGTATGTCTCATAGTGTGTGATGATAGAAGCTGAGGTCATTGGAGTAATGTGTTCTCCTTCCTCTGATCTTACATTCTGACATTTCTACAGTGATTCATTTAGCACAGAATATCAGAATTAGTTAATAATTAAGGATAGGTCTTTAAAAAGCATTCTGAACATGCTCCTTTCTCTGGAAAACTTACAACGAGCAGATGAATTACATGCAAGTGTCCTTATAAAACAATACATAGAAGTCACACTTTAACTTTGTATATTTGAATACTTAAGTGGAAGCCCACCATGCACTACGATAAATGGAATACAATGCCCCACCTCATCACTGAGAACACAGTAAAAACCAAGTCTTAAAAACAAAGAATTAGGGACAGGGAGTAAGACTCAATGCCAGAGCAGTTGCCTAGCAACTGGGAGGATCTGGGTTCAGTCTCTAGCACTAGCTCTACATGAATGAATCAACAACAACAACACAATAGAAACAAAAATAAAGCAAGCATTTATATCTTCAAATGTAAATTATTTTTAAAAAAAGTTAAAAACCCTCAAAACTTGCTATTAACCATGGCATCTCTCAGCTGAATCTTTCACTATAACCCTATAATTTTGTTCAGGAAGTAACTCAGACAAATGTTCCATCAGTAGTAAGCCTTGTGGCTAGAACAGTGAATGGATGTGCACATGGCGAGAGAATGTGTTACTAGGACAGGAAAATTGGCAGCTTCTTTTCATCAGTAACTGCCTAAGTGACAGTACCCTTTCTTACAAATCAAGAAAAAAACATTTCTAAAGGAAATATTTGTTCTCCAGTAGCACAGAGTTCACAATACACTATTTCTCTTCTTTCAAGCAAAGACAAGGCTGGCAGATACTTGAATTATAAGACACAACCTTCTTCTTGCTTAATATTTACAATGTCCAAGAATGCTTATTTTTGAAAGCTATTATTTATACAAGCTAAATTACTATGACCAAAAAAAAAATTAAGCTGGCTAATAGAGTGATGCCCCAATATAATGTGTTCAGTCAAAAAATTCATTGATACCAAAATGATAAAAGTCATTAGAATTGAAGGATCCCAACTGATAATCAAATATCTAATTACATCTTCATTCTTCTACCCAAACATAGATACACAAGGACCACATGCACTTCAAGAAATGGCTTCCTGGCCTCAGAGTAATGCTATCTGAATTAAACAGATTTCAGATGAACAGAAAGTATTATCTTCAATGGATTTGACAAAATAATTAACCATTTAAAATAAAAGTTCTGCTCAATTTTCCAAAATATCTTGATCACAAAATAATCAAATTAAATTTCATTTCCCAATAATACTATTTTAAAGCATATGTAATGATGCTGTTTATTGACAGGAGAGGATGATGTGCCCAGCTAATTATGCTATATAATAATACAGAATTTTAGGATAAAATACTTTCCACCTAAGTATTTTTGTGACATTCATGGTCAGGTGACCAAAGGGGAAATTGGCAGTTGTCCCCAATGAGAAAATATGAGAAGGTTCAGACAGAGGTGTTTGTGGCTGTCACTTAAAATCTGAAGAGAGACTAAGCAGGCTTAAGTCAAAGTTTTTTTGACTCTTCAAATCCCTACTGAGAATGTTTCAGGGATTTGAAAAATCTACATTCTTAGTAAAAACATATAACTTAGGAATCTTGAGTTGAATTTCTTTTAATGTGGCAGACTGATTCACTAACGGTAACCTGTAATTCTCCTTCCAAATATTTGTTTTAACAGAGATCTCAGAAACACTATAAATATCTTAGAGTTTAGAAGTGGGTATAAAGGCAAGTAACATGCTTATTTGATAAAAGGGAGTTCAGCCATTCTGTTCTCACTGGGCCCTGAAGAGGAGAGAGACCTCAGAGATGTACGGGGAGAGTCTCAGAAACAAAGGTGGCTCTGGACCAGACAACATGGGTTGGGATGGAGTCTCCAATTAACCTGACTGCTCTACTCAGTTTCCTTCATTCAAAAATTGATGATAAAATAAAAGTGAGTTTATTCATGGCAGTATAAAAAAACAAATTTTAGCAACTATTATTTTGAATCATAAAGCTCTATTTAAAAAGTATTTCAGACACCTAAATCAGCAAGTAAGAACAGTTTAATTGGCTTTGTTTATATAAAGGTAAGAATAACCACATAGACTTTTCAAAAATTTAAAAAAAAAATCAATTCTTATTTCTAGGTGATGGAAAAATTGCAGTTTGTATGTAACTGAATACTGCTGAAGTGAGTGAAATTGATAGCTTCATTTCGAATTTTGATGGTAACAATGCCCTGTGTCTATTTAATCCAGTGGTCCTCATGCTTTAGTGTGCCTGAGCATCACATGGAAGGAAAATTAAATACAAATGGGGGTCTGTGGTTCATGGAGGCTAGGTAGGTTCCCTAAATGCACATCCTAAAAAAAGAAATGTTGAAGTGATGCTGAGCTGCCATGACACACTTTCACACCATTAAATAGATTTAACACACTCAAACTTCAGAATAAGTAAAGTATATCTTCCTAGTAGAGGCATCTACCCAAGGGATTTTACTGCTAACAGAAAGCCATTTCAGTTGGAAATATTGTGCTTGTACACAATGCATGTTCTTTTTCACAAAGTGCAGACGTCAGAAATATTAATATAAATATAAAGCAGTAACAAATTTATCCTACAGTTTCACTCCAAATGTATCTTTTGCCTTGTTAGTATAAAAGTTAAAGGATTGCATATAACAGTGATACAAAGGTGATTTAATTTAATATTAGCTTTACCTACAGACTCAAAACTACAAAAAGCATTTTTCATTTATTAAGTTCTATTCAGGTCAATCATGAAGGCTGCTTCATGCAATCAGGCTGGCAATGGATACAACTGCTTTCTTTCCTAATTTAATTTGAGAGTCTGATAATTTATAATGGGATGATGCTGTTTTGCCCACAAAGACGTTAATCAAACACAGATTTTAGGTAATGACATTATGAACTAGGATAAAACAAGGAGCAAAAGGCTTACCATCCCTAAGGAAGCACACATTTTGAGATAATAGAATTACTTGTTAGACAGTCACACATCATCCACTTTGAGCACAGTATGTTTTCAGGTGAACAGACATCTGAAAAAGCAAGCTTGCAACATTCTCCTGGGAACAGATTTAGAAGACTTCATCTCAACTTGGATTTATCATTTATTTGCATGGAAAATCCCCCCCCCCCAAAAAAAAAACTTGCAACTTACTGATTCTATGACAGGTTTTAGATAAAAGCCACACTATCTTAAACTGTTTTTCAAAGATGAGTTCTCAGCCACCTTTGCCCCCTTATTTCCCAAGAGATAAAAGCAGAAGTCCTAAAACCAGACAGATTCAGTGTCTGCACAGCTTTGAATGTGCAGTGGAAGGTAATCTCTTACTGGGATGTTCTTCCTTCCCCTCTCCCTTTATTTCTCTCTAGAACACTCCAGACTGCATCGCTGAAAACTCAGCAGATTCTCTATCACAGAAGGCATTGGCAACTAACCTACATGACTGAGGAGAAACACCAGATGCCAGCCTGCAAATTCTACTAACTAGTATTACTGGAGACACCCAAATCCTTCAAAATCAACGGAATAACCAGGTAATGTTACATGATCACTTGATAGATTTATACTTACACTCTGAAGTATATGCATATTTTCCAACTTTGTTCTTAAAATAGAAAACATTATATAGCAACTAATAAAATCAGAAGCATATGTTTTGAATAGCATTAAAAGTTAATAAAAACCAAAATACAAGTCTTAGCGATATGGGACATTAAGTTCTTCAATAAAAATATGCTAAACGTGGAGGAATGTTGATGTTTTGACTGTGAAATGAAAATTAAATATAAACAAAAGGAACGGGATTTCCCAATGTTAAGAGAGTTGTTAAATAGTTTACCTGCTGTGCACAATGAGCATTCCTAAGGTAGAATTGCCAGAACAATCTAGCAATGAGTCCATAAAAGGAACTAGTGATTGCAAAAAGGGCTGAACTCAGTGGTTCTCCTTCTTTACCTCTGAGGTGCTGAATAAGGTGCTGAGAGCAGAGGTCATACACCAGGTGATATTCTTAACTGTGCAATTTTCAGTAATTAAAGGATGCCGTTGACATTTGGAGCGAATATCTGCTATCTTTATATATCATGTTAGGTCTTATATGAGAGTTATGTGGTTTTTTTTTAACTGTATTTGAATATGAGGAATTGTATTTTATGAGAAATCATCTCATTTATTTGATGGAAATTTGAAAAGCTTTAAATTCCATCTTAAATCTCAAGTTAGATGCCATACAGAACACATTTAAGTCAACTGCTACTCTTCCTTGAGTTGTCTGTTGTGTGATAACCTAGGAGATCAGAGGAGGATCAATTTCTGCTATTTTATTTTAGCTACCATTAAATACACCATAAACCTGGGAATGATGCTCTGACTGCTTTGAGAAATGTCAAGTAATGGTTACATATACAAATGCTGTTGCTGCTGCCTTCTATTATTGTTACCGTTTTAGGGTTCAAACAATGATATTCAAAAAACATACACACACTTCAAACATAATGAACCACTTGAAAATGAGAACTATATGGGTAAAAATATTCCAGAGTAAACAGTGAGTCTCTGTAAGGCTAATATTAGATTGCATGGCTGACTATGCACAGCCAAAAACACTTCCCAAAACACAGAAATATTTTGGATATTTATTTTCTACAATTTACTACTTATTTTATTGAATAAACTTTCCAACAGTGATTTCATATGAAATTTTTTGATTGGTATTTCATTTATAATTCTAACGCATAATCAATCACTTTTCCATTGAATTTATCAATGATACTAAAGTGAATGAATGAATGAAACCAAGAACATAGGAATAGAAGGAAAGAGAGCTGTAAACAGAAACAAAAGGTAACAAGGCTTGAAAGAAGCTGAGGGGGAATATAAACAAAGCATCACTAGCATGTCTTCCTATATACATAGAGGAGGGCAGACACTAAGATGACAGTGTGAAAAAAAAATCAACAACAAATGCAAGGCTCCCATAACATCATGCAATGCACTTCATAGCATTTTAATTGGCTAGAGATGGAATATTTGTTTAGATGGAAAATCCAGGAATTCAGTTTTCTATTAATTTCTACCAACTGCCACCATAAAGATAAAAACTCCAGTTTTAAGCAACCTTGTGCTTCTGAAAGTTACATATAGAGATAACAACCAAACCAGTGACCTGTGACTAAATATACTCACACCCCCTCTCTACTCTAGGAGCTAGCACAATGGAGATGCCTGGGGTTGACGCCACTGCAGCCAATACCACCTTGATACCTGGGAATGTCACCCTGTGCAGCAGAGACTACAAGATAACTCAGGTTCTCTTCCCCTTGCTCTACACTGTCCTGTTCTTCGCCGGACTCATCACAAACAGCTTGGCAATGAGGATTTTCTTTCAAATCCGCAGTAAATCCAACTTCATTATTTTCCTTAAGAACACAGTCATTTCTGATCTTCTCATGATTCTAACTTTTCCATTCAAAATTCTCAGTGATGCCAAACTGGGAGCCGGGCCTCTGAGAACCTTGGTGTGCCAAGTTACCTCTGTCACGTTTTATTTCACAATGTATATCAGTATATCATTCCTTGGATTGATAACCATTGACCGCTACCTGAAGACCACCAGGCCATTTAAAACTTCCAACCCCAGCAACCTCTTGGGTGCAAAGATTCTTTCTGTTGTCATCTGGGCCTTCATGTTCTTCCTCTCACTGCCGAACATGATTCTCACCAACAGGAGGCCAGAGGACAAGAACATAAAGAAATGTTCCTTCTTAAAGTCAGAGTTTGGACTGGTCTGGCATGAAATAGTCAATTACATCTGTCAAGTCATTTTCTGGATTAATTTCCTAATTGTCATTGTTTGTTACAGTCTTATTACAAAAGAACTCTATAGGTCCTATGTAAGAACAAGAGGTGTAGGCAAAGTTCCCAAGAAAAAGGTGAATATCAAAGTTTTTATCATCATTGCTGTGTTCTTTGTTTGTTTTGTTCCCTTCCATTTTGCACGGATTCCCTACACCCTGAGCCAAACGCGGTCTGTCTTTGACTGCGCTGCTGAGAACACTCTGTTCTATGTGAAGGAGAGCACCTTGTGGCTGACGTCCCTGAACGCCTGCCTTGACCCATTCATATATTTTTTTCTTTGCAAGTCTTTCCGAAATTCCTTGACAAGTATGCTGAGGTGTTCTAATGCTATGTCACCCTCTGGAGAAAACAAAAAGAAAGGACAGGAAAGTGGTGACCCAAGTGAGGAGACCCCAATGTAAAATGTGACTTGAGGGCTGCTTCAGTCTGTAGTGTGCAGACTCCTCTGAGGAAATCACCACGCAAAAATAGTAACACTCATTTAAAAGAAGCTGAGCTAACGACTCTTTAGATAACCAATAAAATAGGGAAATAATCTTTATCTAATATATATATATATATATTAGATATATCGCATATATATATATATATGCCATCTTAAAATACAAGGGAAAATACTATCTGCAGAGGTATAGTAAAATAAACAGCATCCTATTGCTATACTGCAAGCAAACCCACAAAGAATTAATGCCTTACCCAGTTTCTGCAAATTGAGCAATCATGAAGTGTAACATTCACTGGCATTTTAAAATCCATTACCAATCAGTATTATTTTTGTAATAAGTGAAAAATTTATGCCTGACCTGATACATCAAGCACAGTAACTACTGACTTCTCATTTATAGTAACAGGGGGGACAACAACCCCACAGACACTTAAACCAAATGAAATGGCATTGGATGAGGCCTGAATTAGTATAAATGCTCACTAAGATGGTAGAGGTTTAAAGATGTATCTTTCCATAAAGAACAGACATAGTGAATAAACCATTAACTTAAGTGTAAACTTCCATAACATTCTAATATTTAAAAGAAAATATATTACTACTTCCTTAACACTAGAGAAAGCAACTTCACTAAGATTCTGAGGTTACTCAGTACAGTGCCATCGTTGGCACTTATCTTTGTTAATCGGCTTTGGAAATGGCTGCTGCTTGAATGACAAAAACACTGCTTAGAAAGAAAAAATAAGTAGCTATAATTACCAAATTGCACCTTACATCTACTAATAAGAAAGCAATTGAACTATCTGACATTACCTGTTTGTAATCACGTGTATTATATAAAAATTGCATTTATTCTGTATTGTTTTGTTGGAATTTCTTTGTTCAAATGTTTAGAGACAATGGCTCAAACTTCTTCTCCTATATTAAACAGTAAATGTATTTAAGAACTGTGGCCAGTACAGTTTTATGACGTATTATTTTTCAGTCTCTTCAGAAAAAAAAATCACATCCTGATTTTAAGTCCTCATGTAATTAAAAGGGGGTGAGATGTATAGTCAGGTTTCATGTATTTCATAGTTGCTATTTTTATTTTTTATTAGTAATCAAACACAGAACTGGTACATAATCATTGGGTAGATTTGACACTTCGATTTATGCATATAAGCAATAATGTCCAAATTGGGGTCATATCTGACAGCTTTAATATGGACAAAATATTCAATGTATGAAAGTTCAAATCATTTGTCTCAATTATTTTTTAATTAAATTTTTTATTCATTTTACTTACCCACCACAGTCCCCCCTCCGCCTTCCTCCCCCAACTCACCCCCATCCACTCCTCAGAAAGGGTAAGGCCTCCCATGAAGAGTCAATAAGACCTGGCACTTTCAGTTGAGGCAGGACCAAGGCCCTCCCCTCCACATCAATGCTGAACAAGGCATCCCACCACATGAATGGGCTTCAAAAAGCCAGCACATGCACCAGGGTGAGATCCTGGTGCCACTGTCAGGGGTCCCACAAACAGACGGAGCTACAAAACTGTTGCCCACATGCAGTGGTCCTAGTTTGGTCTCATACAGGCCACACAGCTGTCAGTCTAGTGTCCTTAAGCACCTCTGTAGATTTCCCTGTCATGACCTTGACCCCCCCCCCCTTGTTCATATAATCTCTCTTCTCTCTCTTCAACTGGACTCCTGTAGCTTGACCCGGTGTTTGGTTGTGGATCTCTGCATCTGCCTCCATCCGTTAGTTACTGGATGAAGGCTCTATGATGACAGTTAGGGTATTCATCAATCTGATTACAGGGATATCTCAATAGAGAGAGCCACTACTAGGCTAGGGAAAAACCTGACATTAGGGAAATTCCCAGGAATCCACAAGCATTTATCTCAATTATTGATGCTCCTTAGAGGTGATTCTCCAACAAATGATGGTATAGATAATAACATCTAAATATCATGTGAAATAAATGAAAAGGGTAAATTCTAGTATAGGTAAGTTTGTTGAACTTCAATAATGTTTTCCAAACCCAACACAACTTCTCAACTTACACTTTGGTACAAAACTAAGGATATGTAATTCTTAATGTGGCGAGTATTCCCTAGTGGCTGCACTTCCTACTCGGGCACTGCTACAGTGAGAACAAGATGTTGGAGATGGAGGTAGAGACTGAAAAATGTGCATATGAAGGCTGGGGACCCAGGGTCAATCTCCAGCACTGTAATAAAAAGAGGACACAGTCTGTGACACGGACCACAGAACAAACAGCCATTGTCATTTCTGCCACGGTACTCACTCTCCGTCTACAACACCCTTTTTGGGCAACAGAGGAGACTCTCGCTGCCAACTGTCTCCATCAAACTTTATTTTGCATATGAGACAAATAAAGGGCAGCAGTAACCCCCAAACCATCCAAGTGTAGAACAGGAAGTGTGTGAAAGCTCTTCATCAAGGTCTCATGAGTTGAGCGTGAATGTGATGAGGGACTGCTGGGGAAACAGACTACCTGAACAATTCTCCTTTTGTGGCTATCCTAATTCACTGTGTTCTTTTTCTACAAGAGACAGACAAATAATGTTGATAGGGTTATGAGATTTTAACAACAACGAAAAAAACCTGCAAGGTGTTTGTGGAATTACCTATGTTTTATAGTTACATATATACAGCATAAAATTTTGGATTAAGCCCTAAATCACACTTTTGGGTTTCTTTACTGAAAGGCAATAATAGGCACCACATACTCCTCCACTATTGAACATATTCAGGACAGTCTGACAGACAGACATGACTTATGCCTATTATTGCAGCCTCAGTGGGTCAAGTAAAAGATCACTTCAAGATCAAGAACAGCCTGGTTTATATACCCAGTTCCAGGTCAGCCAGGGTTAGAAAGACCCTGTCTCAAAGTAAAATGAACTCCCCAAAACCAACAGTCTAAAATTTCAGTGTTATCAAATGCCTACTCTACACAGAACATGTCACCTTTGCCAGCTGCAAATACTCTGACATAAGTAAAGACCACATCTCCAATTAATTTTTTTAAGTGAAACCAAACTTGGTATCTGTGAATTGTTGAAAAGATGAGCCAATAAAATGTAGTCCTGTCCCATAGCTCAGTGGCTTACCAGGCTTGAGGATGCTAGTGGTTGGAGTTTTTCCTCAGAGATTTCTCACAGAAAGCATATGAAGCAGGCCTTGCCCAAACCACAGGCCCTACCTACAGATCCCAGCTCACCACCTGTTTATGAGCGGTCTACGGTCTAAATATACTTTTTATATTTTAAGAATAAATTTGTGTTTCATGGACTGTATAGGAAATTAGAATTCCAATGTCCACTGCTAGGCTTCCCAACAACACAGCAATACTGTGCAAGCAGTGTATCTAAGACTTCTGTGCCACAACAATAGAGCTGGGCTGTGGGAAGAAAGACCACTCGGCCTGAATCACTTAAAACATTTGCCCTTTAAAAAATATGGAAACAACCTAGATGCCCTTCAACTGAAGAATGGAAAAATAAAATGTGGTACATATACACAATGGAGTACTACTTAGCAGAGAAAAACAATGACATCATGAGGTTTGCAGGCAAATGGATGGAACTAGAAAATATCATCCTGAGTGAGGTAACACAGACTCAGAAAGACAAACATGGTATGTACTCACTCATAAGTGGATACTAGATGTAAAACAAAAGATAACCAGACTGCAACTTACAATTCCAGGGAGGCTACCTAGGAAAGAGGACCCTAAGAAAGACACAGGGATCACTCAGCGACAGAGAAATGGATGAGATTTACATGAGCAAACTGGAGGGGGGCGGTAATGGAAGGCAAGGTCGGGGGAAAGAGAGCTTAGGGGAGCGGGAGGTCCCAGCTGGATCAGGAACAGAGTGGGAGAACAAGGAAAGAGACACCATGATAAATGAAGACCCTATGGGAATAGGAAGAAGCAGTGTGCTAGAGAGGTCCCCAGAAATCCACAAAGATACCTCCACAATAGACTACTGGTAATGGTTGAGATAGTGCCTGAGCTGACCTGCTCTGGTGATCGGATGGTTGAATACCCTAACTATCATGATAGAACTCTCATCCAGTGACTGATGGAAGTGGATGCAGAGATCCATGGCCAAGCCCCAGGTAGAGCTCCAGGAGTCCAATCAGCAAGAGAGAGGAGGGATTATATAAGCAAGAGATATTGAGACCATGATTGGAAAAAGCACAGGGAAAAATAGCCAAACTAGCAGAAACACATGAACTGTGAACCAATAGCTGAGGAGCCCCCATGGAACTGGACCAGGTTCTCTGGATAAGTGGGACAGTTGATGAGCTTGAACTGTTTAGGAGGCCCCCAGGCACTGGGACTGGGACCTGTTCTTGGTGCATGAGCTGACTTTCTGGAATCTAGGGCCTATGCTGAGACACTTTGCTCAGCCTCTGTGCAGGGAGAAGGGGACTGGACCTGCCTCAACTGAATCTACCAGCCTGAGCTGACTCCCCAGGGGAGACCTTGCCTTGGAGGAGGTAGGAATGGGGGGTAGATTGGGGGGAAGGCTGGGAGGAGGGAGGAGGGAGGACAGGGGAATCTGTGGCTGATATGTAAACTTAAATTAATTATAAAATAAAAATATTTAAAAAATATAATCTGCCAACCATTGAATCACCACTTTCACAAAAGAAATAAAACTTCAGAGACAGAAATTTCTCACCACATGTGTGGCTATTCCATAGTTTTTAAGCAATGTCCACAGTGGAATTAGAGTCATCAGTGGGAACTGAAGATGTAGAAATACAACTGTAATCACAATCACTAAGAAGAAATGGATGGATTTAGCAAAATGGGGAGAACATGAGAAGGTAATTTCCAGAAGGAAAGTAAACAGACAATACGTAAATGAAAGGAAATATGTCCTGATAATATAAATTTATACTTACATGGCACAGTGTATTTTACTTATAATTTTTTAATTGACTTAAATATTTTAGTAAGAATTAGAGAATGGGCAGTCCCCACCATCTGGCAAGCAGGTCAGTGACTCATCTGCCAGCTGACTGCTACCACCCACTGGATTCTGTTCCCCCAAGACCCACTCTGCCCCTCAACCCCATCCACCTCAACATCCTCCCCTGGCTATGCCATCCCCACAACTCTAGCAGACTGTATAGGCCCAAATACAGCACGAAACAGTCAGAAGAACAGCAGCACCTTTACTTCTTTCCATATTCTGGCCTCCAACTTTGGAAGAGGAGTTAAGTTTTACAGGAGGCCATGCTGAATCTAGGCAACCAAGGCCCCACAAACATCAGCAGAGATATCATAATGGGCCTGAAGACTAACCAGTTACCCAAACCCTTGGATACCAGGCCAGAAGACAAGAGAGGAAACAGAAAACAAAGGAACAAAACACTCACCCAACGAAGGCAAATGAAAGAATCAACACTCAGACCTATAATCATCCCAAATCCAGATGCCTCAATGCCAGTTAAGAACACATTCAATAACAGAAAGGGCAATCCTAAGATCACTGGTACCACCAGAACCCAGTGATCTTAGGACAGCAAGACCTGAGCATTCCAGTAGAGCTGAAGCACAAGAAAACAACCTTAAAAATAATTTTATGAAGATGATAGAGACCATTAAAGAGGAAATGAAAAACTCCCTTAAAGAAATCAAGGAAAAGACAAACAAAAAAACTTGGAAGAAATAAAAAAAAAAAATCCCTTAAGAATTCCAAGAAAGCCAAGGGGGGGGGGGGAACAATCAAACAGGTGAAGGAAAGGGGTCAAGACCTGAAAATTGAAATAGAAGAAATATGGAAAACACATACCGAGGGAATGCTGGAAACAGAAAATCTGGGTAAGTGAACAGGAACTACAGATGCAAGCATCACCAACAGAATGCAAGAGATGGAAGAGAGAATCTCAGGGTTGAAGATATGATAGAAAAAATGGATT